TGGATCAGAAGAAACCTTACCAAGACTTGCTAATCTTTCTTTATCTGATACTAAAGATGCTGAAATTCCAATTAAAGTGGAAGATAATAAGGATCCAATTGAATCCTTATCTAGTATAGATCAATCTCAAATCAATCATCAACAACCAATGGAAGCTAACTTAACAAAGTCCCTGTCATCTGCCAGACTTCAGAAGCAAGTTTGTCTAGAACTTGCTTCCGAAGTCTGGCAGATGACAGGGACTTTGTTAAGTTAGCAATGGAAGATAATTTAGAAAGTAATTCCATCATCATTTCAGAAGGATCCAATTCAACAGTAGAAGTGAATCTGATCTGATCAAAGAATCTCAACACCTTTGACATTGATACAAGCAATTGAAATCTTCAACTGTCCCTCCTATGCTAACACCAGAAGAAGAAGAAAATTGTTTATTCAAATTGGCTAATGTATTGGCTACCGCATTTGAAATGTTTCAAGGTGCTCCAATCAAGGCGATTCAAAATATGGAAGCTGTTTGGGGTGTTAAAGATACTAAAAAGATTCTGACTTCTCAATGTAATGCACTTGAGATGGCCATTGTTAGTGAAGCTAAAAAGTTCATCTGAAGTCCTGCTTGCGAACGAGTGATTGGTAATCATCTCTTTCTCTTTCTCTCAACCCTCATCTTCTTTTATTAATTCAAATATGTTTCTTTACATTTCACGGAAGCAATTTGGACTGTAAAGATTACTTATACTTCAACGGCTATCTTTGATATTGTCTCTGATCGATACAAACTTTGACCGGTTTCACTTTACAATCCAAGAGATGCACCTTTACTCAATCATTATTGTTTAGGAGTTCCACGTAATAGAGCTGCTCTAGGTTATTTGAATTATGGTATTCTTATCATCTCATATGTATCCACAATGGAAACTAGAGCATTGAATCGAATGAATGGATATGAGATTTGGTTTAATATCTTTACCTTGGGAGTCACATTAGATAAGACTGGATCAATCTTAGAACATGGTTGGTGTGTCTTTATAGCAAATCTTTGGAATGGATTGGTTATTCGATTTATTTATCTTTAAGAAGTTCTGGTTTATTTTATTTATCTCATTGTGATGTGAAATCTTATTAGTCAATTGAACAGTCTCATCAAGTTTTATCTTGTTTAGCTATCTTTGTGTTTCCTAGACTAGCTTTCATTACACTTTTGGATGATCTTTTGATTTTATCTTTTAGATCGATGATGAGTCATTTTGTGTTTTTAATGTTATTAGGAGCTTGGTGTTTTCTTGGCTTTTTATATTCACTTTATATGCTTCAAGTTAGTTTAACTGAAGCCGGTGAAATGGAAAAATATTCAATCGGTCAAATCGCTAAACGGATGGTTTACATTTTCTTTGGATTAGATGCTACTGGCATCACGAATCACGATTGCTCACGAGTTACCCAAATTCATATCTTCATATATGTTTCAAAAATACATATATGGTTTCTCGGAAGAAGAATGGTGATCCAAAAGTTTGAGAGACACCACTCAGGAAAGAGGCTTTCCAGTTTCCGAATGACTTCAGACCCCTTGTTTGGGGTTCAAATTTTCTTTGAAGGCGAAGAAAGGCCCTGCATACTGTGCAAGTAGTTATGAGCACCTCAGCCCGCGCCCGCGCTGCGCGTTCTGACCGGTAGTCTTAGGTCATGAGACACAAAGGTTTTACCGGCCTTGTGTGGCTCAATTTCATCTGCGCAGCGCGGGCGTGTTCTTTTGGAAAGCACAAAAATTACACACTTCTGATGAAATTCCAAGCTCACCGGACGTCGGGCGCGTTTTTGGTGGACACTGTGAAACAAGCTCTCATCTTTGTTTGGTAGGCCTCAGAAGGGGACTTAATTGAGTTAGGGTTATGGGCACCTCACTGATCCTCAATCATTTTCCTTTGAAAAGGGAAATTGATTGGTTAGAAGCAAAGGACAAGGTACACTAACCCAATCTCAAATGTGGAGTGGTTAGACAATGGGATTTGTTCTGTCTTTCTCAGTGGTGCACATTAGAACATCAATCTATAGTATCCTCAAAACGGCCACAGCAGAGAACAAGACAAATGAAAGAAAAGATTTTAATGTAGGTTAGGGAAGCTATGCCTATGTAGTGGCGGAGTTTCCTAAATAAATAAATGGACTACTTGACTGGTAGCTTGCATCACAATTCCATAAATGTATTGACAGGTCAAAGGCACACCTTATGAATGGCGAGAAACGGCACTCAGTCAGTCTGGACCAAATGAAAGACTTTTGATTTTTTTGTGAAACCCGCGATGTGCTCACGTCGATCACAGACGTCCGGACAGATAAGGTGGGTGATATTTTTGCTCCGTTACAATGCACTGAATCCCAAATTTTCACGATTGAATGAAAATCAAACAAGTGGCACAACAGAACACCATGTCCGTTTGGTGTTTGGGGAGGTCATGGTGAGAAGATCTTACTTATGAATTCAATAGCGCTCTTGCGTAGTGATGACAAGCACAAATTTTGGTATGAGTTACAAAGCGGATGTAAACGTAAAATTATTGTCAGCAAGATAATAGTAAGCTAATTAATAATGTAATAATTGAATGCCAATCAAGACATTGGTATTTGGCTGAGAAACCCTATCTATCGCGCAACTTTTAAAGAAGGTTTTTTTGACTATTCTTAGGTTACTGGGAGAAGGTCTTGTTCTTCGTGTGATCTACCGCCATGCAGTGCAATGGGTGCATGCTGGAAGGAGAGATACTCTTCAGTGAAGTTATTTTTTAAATGATGACAAAATGCGACTGACTCATGAATGGCACAGAACCAGCAGGATAGTATTCGCATATATACCCTATGCCACGGGGGTTGGTACAAGCTAAAAATCGTCCATTCAGACGCGAAAGATCAATCTTGATTGAGACACTTTATCAAGATAGACGGATTCAAGGCTAAGAATACTGACAATAACCACCCTTTGCTCCACCCAGGGCATCATATTGTGCACATTGTTGTTGACTGAAACCATCGTTTGATCCACCCATTAGGCGACAATCTTTCAACGGAACCCATTGGTGAACTAAAATAGATCGACGAAACAGATGCCCGCGTATAATCAGTTTGATGAAGATATGAAGGCTACTGAGAATTGGTTTGTAATTTACGTCCGTCAGATGCTTTCCAATGGCAATTTGAATAATCGCATCTCAACCGAATTTCTGTATCTCCGTGAACTCGGCATACTTTCAGCGTGTTCGATTTCAAAACAGTTCTTATTAGTTCTGGTCTTAACTTATCATGGCGGCATAAGGCAATGAAGAAAGAAATGAGATCAAATACGCACGTGCAGTGCTAGGTTGGGTGGCATCGGGTATTGTGACCCCTGAGGTACACTCGCCATCGTAGTGGTGGTGCTTCCTGGCATTTAAGCTGTGAATCCCCAGGGAAAGTAGTAAAAAAGCTATCTTTAAGAAGACATGGAGCATTGTGGGTAAAGCAAAAGAGGACGAAAAGCGATAAATGAATATGATATTTCGACTTGCGACGGTGTAAATGAAGTGAGATTTGGACGAAGAAAAGACGTCAGTAATGAAGCCTATGCTGGACGCATGGGTTCACATTGGAATCTACATACATATTTATATGGCTTGTTCACCTAGAAAAACTTCAAGACTGGGCTTACTTTTGTACATACATGTAGTGGAATTTTCAACGGTACGAAGTCGCGCCACCTGCGCGCAATCTTGGGCTTTGTTCAGCTTTGTTCTCTGTCCACCAAGGACTTTGTTGACATTTATGTCTATGGCTTTGAGCACGGTCTTTGGCTTGCTTTGGGCGGCGATTGCCACTGTAGAAAAAAGCGAAATTGGTTGACTAAGATCACTCCAAAACTCAAATCTTACTGATGAGACCCCAATTGCAGGAAGAGCTTCCCGGTTGGATATGTGTTTAGTGTTTTAATGTGATCAATTATTGTCTTCTTTGCAACTTACCATTGATGATCCGAATCGAAGAGAAGTTGTGATGATCATTCGAAAAGGCCGCTCCGAGTCCAAGTCACCCCAAGACTGTTGAGAACACACAAAGATTTCCTCAAACACTTGGAAATCGAACATGCAAGCAACAAATCCAGTCTAATCTTGAGCCCGAACACCAAATCGTCTGTCATATCTAAGTAGGTCGGGCTCGAGCTGCAAGAGCTGCCTCAGCAATCCTTCTGATCTACCCAGACTCAGCTTGTGGTCAAGATACCTCGACATTGAATTTGCGACCGGGGCTTAACTTTTAACTTAGACCGGGGCCCACAATCTTGAGCGTGACCATATGCTAAAGATGAGATGTGCCTAACCTCCAGTATAAGGCTATTCAATCAGGCTCCTCACATGTCACCTAGCTGTTACGGTCCCACACTTTGACCGTGAAATTTAAATTTCAATACAAGTCAAACATTTTTCACAATTTGACCATTCGACAAATTTAACCAAGACCCAATTCCTAAAACTTGACTTCCAACAACTTATCATCAAAACTATTTCAAGATGCCTAAATCAAGTAGGTTAGTTCCAAAGTAAAAGGAAAAACTTGAATCAAACATGAATCCTGATGATCATCAATGCTGATTGAAAATCGTTTTGCCTTTTTTGTTCATAGAAAGAGCAACGATAGTCCATTTGACCAAAACTACAAAGAAAACAAAAGAAGCTAAGGGTAAATTGATAGACGATCTCAAGGCAGCTACCGACGAGTTTAAATACGCATGGTTATTCACAGTAGACCACGTTCGTACAACTTATTTACAAGAAATTCGATCAGCTTGGAAACCTGCAAGGTAAGCAATTTTACAACAATTCTCTCCAAAATCATATGAATAACTAATTAAACTGACAATTTAATGACATTTCCTTATCAGGATCTTCCTTGGTCGCAATGCTGTGATGAGACTTGCATTAGGATCAACGCCTGAAAATGAACATATGCCCGGAACAGGTGTACTGGGAAGGGTAAGTTTCATATCTTTGTCCATTTCTTCGGAAGATGCTATTGTCGAAGTACACAAGTTTCGAGTCGCTAACTCATTTACTCTGCCAAACCTCAGTTGCTCGAAGGTGATACCGGGCTACTGTTTACAGACGAAGATCCCAAAGTGGTGATTGAGTGGTTCGATGATTTCGTTCGCGATGATTATGCTCGAAAAGGAAATGTGGCCACTGAGACTGTTGAGCTTCCAGCAGGTATACCGTTTTCATTCTTGCATCTAAAAGGCAAATCACAATGAATTGATTTCCAACTCATTCAATTATCAGGTCCAGTGATGATCAAAGAAATCAACGACGATCCTTCTGTAGCCCCTGGAGCGATGGAACCTCATCTACGTGCACTAGGTTTACCTACAACTTTACAACGCGGGGTCCCAACTCTGACCTCATCGTATAAAGTCTGCTCAGAGGGTGCTACCCTCAGTACTCAACAAGCTGGACTTTTGAAGACTTTGGGACATCAGCAGGCGAAGTTTAAAGTAGTACTCCGAAACGTATGGGTAAAAGAAAGTTCGAAAACTCTTACTGTCGAAGAAATTCAAAAGCAGGCATAAGCTTTTCCAAGGGAAGAAGTCAGGGTTCAACTATTTCATTAATCTTACAACCTGGAATCTCAGACAATCCGTTTCATTCTCATTGTTTGACCATCTTCCTGTGCTTTGATCTTTTTTGTCTTCCTACATGTAGTCCATGCTTCTAAAATTCAAGTATCTATGTGAACCCAAGTGAGATCAACGTAGTCTGCCGGGCTTGTAAACTTACAATGCAAAAGCTCCTCTAGGGTTTGGGGCAGAGTGAGCTAAAACCCAAAGATTCACGACTTGGGGGTTGTAACTAGAAATGGTTTGTGGGGAATTCATTGAGAAACCGACGGAACTGCTATCTGACCATGGTATGGCATCCGACGCAAGGGTAGGTGTGAGAAGTGGGGTATTGAAAAAAGTGATCTAGGAGTCGGTGCATAAGCGCTGGGGGATGAAACGGGTCGTTTAGTTAGGCCCTTTCCAAACGTGCTGAAGCAGCATCTGGATTCTGGGGATGATCAGTATTATCGGGGGACTTCAAGGCTCCACTCCTTTTTTGCCATTTGCAAACATGTGTTCGACTTCTCTTGAAGATGTCTTCACTTGCCTCACTTCATGTCTGTCCTAATTGACCACTTAGAAACCCCAAGCCATACTCTATGACGACATATAGACTCATATACCCTCCCGGATATCTCTTTTTCATACTTTGACGCTTGTGTACAAGAACGCGAGGCCTTGCTCGAGGTATATATATAAACAGGTCAAAGCTTTAAAAACTATCAGGCCGATATATTAGGATATATTGACAAACTGGTGGAGAAAAATTCACAAGTTTCGTACACAATGTGCCAAGATGAAAGACGAGATTCTGCGGCTGCGCCTTGACTCTATGGAGCATAAGATGATGGAACGCACGTCTGAGGGGATCAACATGATGAACCAAGTGATATGATCCATCATTGTGAAGCTAAATACGGCCAGGTTCCATCTTTTTTGTATGAAGATTGGATACCCAGATTAGGTGATGATTTCTTTCCAGTCTTTTTTCACCTTGTAAATTATTCAAACTAGGGGGTCGACTCGTTTTGTTCAAGAACATAGTAAAAATGAGACGATCAGTATACTAGTAAGCTCTCGTAGTTTAAAAGATGATCTGATTATATTCGAGTAGTATGCGGCAGAAACCCCATTACTGGACCAAGATCCCACGATGAGATTAGAGGAAGAAAGAAAAATTGTAGGTATGTTTAGCTTAACAAAGCCCCCTCACCGCGTCCGCCTCGCCTAAAGATTTCCAAGACGAAGAACGTGAAATAATTCAGCATTTTTAAACATGTATTTATCCGACTCCCTAAGGGTCCGGTCGATCAGCGGATGGAACACCTGAGATTGAATGCGTTCTCTTCCGATGACGTGTATGCAATTGGTTCAGGACATGCTAGGACACGGGTCTTACCGATTTCTTCTATCAAATAATCTAGACTCAGAGTGAACCTTCATTCATCTTCATCCTAATTCCTTAGGTATCATTGTCAACTTCAGTCGATCAAATGCAACACTGTACCCGGGGGAACGACTGCCGACCTTGCAACGAAGCCATCGAGAGCAAATGGTTCTCCCGGCCCATGCTACCTCCATAAAGTCTATACCCGACCAAAACATCGTACGAAAAAGACTGAAAAAGACAAGCACTCTCATGGCGCTGCAGGCACCGGAAACACACTTGAGCCTATTCCTGAACCTTTGTCTATCTGATATATATATACTTCCATCCTGATCACCCTCTCTCGCTCAATTTTTCCTCATTTCATCCGCTTACAACTCGCAATACCTCAATTGACATCTATCGCACTGTTTTACTGGAACAAAGATGCTACACGTCTATCCAAAGACTTGTTTTCTACTCTGTTCCCTGTGGATTCGTGCCATGAAGGCCGCCGACTATTATTGTAACGTAGGATATGCATTAGACACAGATGGGAAAGCAGGTGCGTGAATTCATTCCCTTGACAATCTGCATCCTAATCTGACGTGTGCCTGTGTCGCTGATAATCAAAGTGTGCGAGGCGGGATATCCTAACACACTCAGATACAAATGTGAATTGGATGATTGTTACAGTGAATTTGAGTAAATCTTTATTATCTTTGATATAAACCATAAATGTGAAGCTGATCAGCGGGTATCCGTTCTATGTATTTTAGTTTCAGAAGAGACCCCAACATACATTGTGATGACTAAATGTCAGCTCATTAAATCCAATGGGTCATTGGATCCCGCCTTGACGATTCAACATTGCGAGCAATATCAATATGTTAAGGATAAGAACAATTATAGTTAGTATCTTGAGTCTTGAAGACCTTGTTCCTCATAAAGTCTTTTATTGAAGATTCATTTTGCACGTGTATTCAGATTGTTACACCGACAAAAAGGATACTTATGCTTGCGCCTATACTCCCGGTTATATAGATCCTATAAGTCAGTGAGATCTTCTCATTCATCAAAAGCATGCTTAACTGAAAATAGGTTCTTTTCTTGTAGGATGTTCCACTTGCACACAGCTTCCAAAACAAGATCCATGAATAATCCAAAATCTTGTAGCATCCTATGGAATAGTATGAACACAATTTCAAACTCTTCCTGATTGATAGGTTTCAATTACACTCTGATTTTTAGGTTGTCAATCTCATCTTGGATCCTGGTAATAGTCAATTTATGTTGGCCATCCACATGGTGGTAAGCTTAACTAAGCCTCTCTTCCAATGCAGCCACGTCCGCTGTCGAAGAGGGGCTTACGGCTTACACCTCAAACTTGGCCTGAGACCAGCAGGATTTTTCAAGAAATTTGAGGGCTCTAAACTTGTAAAAGCTTGTAATAAATTCAACAGGGCTTCTTCAATCTCTTCTTCTTCTCCTTGTACTATTTTTAGCCTGTCAGCACTTCTAGATTGTGAAGGAATTGGATTCCAATAGCAAGTGATTTTGACCGGTTCACCATGCATGTTGGCATGCACACTGAGTATGACTTAGATGTACAAGAACTCACCAGCTCAAACTTGTCACTGTAAAGTGGTGCTAAAAGTGGCACAAGTGTGTCTCCAATGCATAGCCATGCTGAATTTAAGAATGGACCTTGAGCAAAATTGCTTGATAATCATGCTGATCTCAGGCCAAAGTCCGGGTATAAGCCCTAAACACCTCTTTGAGAGGGAATGTAAATCTGGTAGATGATAAGCTTATCAGAGCTTGTAGATTTTGTAAGTAAATCAAAGTCAGTAAGCGAAATGTCTTCAATAAATCTACATAATAAATCCAAAATTCTATGAAGGACCTTTTGGAAAATATCATTCCAAGATTCCTCACTGTTAGAGCATCTTCTGATTCATTTCCACAGAGTGAGATTCTTGTTTGACATGGAGATAAGAAAACATAATCCATGAAATCATATTTACACTCAACTCTTGTATCATTGGGTCTACCACCACTTTATCAACTGAAGATCTAAATCCAATGGATTTTATCATCTGTTTCAGTGTGTTTGACTCATCAAGTCTGAAGTGTTCAATATTTATCTATACACTTTCAATGGGTTTTCACACCTTGAAGACAACTTACAGAAAAGTCACTCTTGAATATCAAGAACTTCAATGGAATCAAAAAAAATCCTCATCTAAATTATCTTAAACTTCCTTCCAAAAAAAATAATCTTAATGTAAGAAATATATTGATTTCAACCAGAATTGTTTGGTGAAAGGTCTTGAAATAGATATGAAGATCAAGTGGTTTTGTTCCCAAAATGTTGAACTTGTAGATTTTTTTTCAATTGCTTTCTTCCCAAATTCAAGTACCTTGCCAACTTCACCAAAATTCCCACTCAAAGGTATACCTCTGTTCACCCAATTTTGACCACTGACATTCATCTCAATCATTCAAGGAGCCATTCCTCCCCATTCAAGCTGTACAAACTCAACCGGCCATGGAGAAACATCTCTTGGGGGCACCAGAAGCTGCTGGTGTTGCTAGTTGATCCTAAGCAGGAAGTGATGATACTGGATAATTACCAGCATTGATCTACAGAGAAGTGATGATAAGTAAAATACATAGAAGATGATCCATATAAAAGCCATTATTAAGTACTTAGATTCCACCAATCCAACACAATCTGTGGATTATTCATATCAGGAGAAGTCATAGGATCTAAAAATATGTTAGAGATCAAGAAAAAATGGAAAAAGTTTGAATTTTGGTTTTTCACTGGACTTAAACCTCAGCAAAGATTTTTTCTTTTTTGATTTTCAGTGGTAACCAACCTTTGAAGGTAGTCAAAAACCTGATTATTGTTTTTCTGTAACATATAATGAAATAGCTATAAGTGAAGCAACCATAAAAAGGAATGACTGTATAACATGAGATAACATACTTTTGTTCAATTCAATTCAAAATCTTGACGCATTTTTTGCACATCATCTTTAGACATTTTTTTAAAGTTTTCATTTCATTTAATTTGAAAAACTCAAAACCCATAACACTCATGATCCAATTCCAAAAAACTCTTACTACATATACAACCCAAAACCAAAAAACCAAAAATCAAATATATGAAAAGAAGGTTCTCTTACACAAAACTCAATACAAAGAGAAAAAAAAAAGGTCAAAAGTCCACTAAAAAGAAACTTAAAACAACCTTCAATGATGGTTTTGAAATAAATCTTAACCCACACACACACACATCTACATATATATCTTGTGATTTTTTTTTTTTTGGTTTTCTTTGAATTTCCATTCTTTCAAAATCAAAAAAAAAAAAAAAAATTAAAGAAATTCTACAAACAAATTTTGTAAAAAATAATAAAAGGAATGAAAAGGTCAAAAGAAAAAAGGTACAAAGAGAGAAAAAAAGCAAAAGCAAAAGCAAAAAAAAAGAGAGAAACGACATATGCAAAAGAAAGGAAAACAACAAGTTCATCACCAGAAAACCAAAACCAAAAAACATAAAAGTCAAAAACCAAAAAACCAAATTCAAATCTGAAAGCAAAAATGTATTTCAAGAAGTCACACTTGAAAAAGATTGATTTCTATGAAACCTAGAAACCGGAGAAGAAGTAGGTGACGTATTTCTAGTAGTGGTAGTAGAATTCGAAGTAGGTGAAAAAGAAACCAAGAGATTCGTATTCGTATTCGTATTCGTATTGATAGTAGCACTAGTAGGTGTCAAACAAGTTCGTTCCCTTAAAACTTGATTCGAACTTAACCTTTTGCCAGCCTTCAACAAATCCAACGAAAGCGGTACTGAAGCTGGAGGTGAAGCTGGAGGTGTCTTGGCATTGGCAGAAGGAGGGGTCGGAAAGAATTGAGAGTTTAACCAAGGAGTGCTTGAGGGTGATGAAGAAACGTTGGTGAGTGAAGGTGAAGCGATTAAACCTTGGTTCGGATTCGAACTAGTTCGACCTGATTGGATTGAGATGGTTCTTTTTAGATTCGGTAAACATGATTGTAATAAACCTTTTAATAATGAATTGGATTTAAGTGAAGGTAGGATTAAAGGAGTTGAAAGTGAATTGAATTGAACTGGATCATAAATTAATGCTTGGTTGGTTAGACTTGGGGTTGGAGGTTGTGCTGAAATCATTATAGGTTGATCTGAATCTATTATAAAAAGGAAAAATCATCAAATCAGAAAAGTGTTCAATGAAAAAGACTTGTGAATTCGACTTGAAAACATTACCATTTCTTGATGGTAATACATTATCATTTGCACTTAGACTTAAGAATAAATAAAAAGGTACCATCCAAACACATATCGCAAACTGTGATTTCGAAAAAAAAAAGCGAGCATAAGTTTCCAAAACCGAATCAGGGAAAAAAAAGAAAGAAACCCAAACCCACAAAAGTAGTAACATCTAAAAACGTCAAAGCAGTCGAATCTAAATGTCTATAAACCTTTGAATGATAAGGATGATGAGATGAAGTACGATCAGTAAAATAAAAAAACCAAGCAAAATGATCTAAGATCACTAAACAACAACTCGAAAGAAATGAGATGGAATTTAATGAGATCATAGGCCAAGATTTGGAAAAGTTAGTCAAATAGATCAAGTGTGAAAAGATTCCTAAGATCGTTAAATGGAATGGTAATCCATCTGAAAAATAAATTCCAATATGTAATAAGATCACTCCCTAAGCGAATCAAAAAAAAACCATTTAGGAAAAGATATTAGTATGGATTGTTGGGATAAGTTTAAAGGACTTCTATTGAGAATGATTGGGTTTACTAACATGAGTGATTTGTTGACCAATTCTTTTAGCAGCTTGAGAATGTTCTTCAATAATTTCAGCAACATATAAAAGTCCACTAGCTATTCAACCACCAAAAAAAAAAAGAAAATCCAAAATCAACTCAAAATTCTTGTCAATCAAATCTAGATAATGATCTAAAACTTACCTAAACAAATCAAAATGAATGCTAATGCCAAGACAGTAGCTAAGAAACTAATCAAATGAAGTAATGACATTTTTCTTGATTTTTTTTTCAATGTTGTTTTTTGGTTTTGCTTGGAGTTCAATAACTCGCTCCAATTTCGATGTTTAGTTTCATTCAACTTTGATTTCGATATGAGATGTGTTTCGGGTTTGATGTGGTTTGATTTACTTGAGTTTGGTTGGTAGTTGAGATGGTTTGATGTGTGGAATGTGAAGTGAAGTTGAATTGAAATGGATGAAGGATTGAAAGTTGAAGTTGAGAAATTGAAATTTGAAGTCAAACTTGAATTTAATTTTTTAATTTTTTTAATTTTCCAACCAAATCCGTCGACCAAACCATTCTCAATCAAACTCACCAACCAACCAACATCAACCAACATCAACCAACCAGCCATTCAAGCCATTCAAGCCATTCAAAGATGCCCAACCAAATCGAAATAACAGCTTCATCAATGACAAGTCTCTTAGGAGAAGTCGAATCATCAAAATCAAAACTATCGATCAAGAAACCCAACAAATCATCCAAAGCTGAAGATCAAGATGAATATAATCTATCAAGGTTTAAGAAATCATCAACTATCATCAAATCAACAAAACCATCAAAATCAAAATCAAAACTAATCATCTCAAACCATGGAATCGAAGATCGAATCAAACAAGATGAAATCGAATCTAAATACAAAATATCAAAACACAAAACAACCACACCTACCATCCATGACCAATTAGTCAATGATGCATTAACACGTAAAGCATTGATCTATGAAGCTACCATGTAAGTAAGTATATCTATATATGTATCCTATTCAATCAAACTATCATCACCACTTATTTAACATTCGAATCTTATTAGTCAAGGTAAATCAGGAGGATTAAGTGAAAAACAATTAGAATCATGTTCTTTAGATATAGATGCTAAAAGATTAGAAACCCAATCAACCGAACCGATTCTAATCTCAGACCCCGATCTGATCCCAACAATCACTTCATTCAAAGGTAAATTAAATTCTAATACAAATGAAGATCAAGAAGAAGAAGAAGTTAAATTAGAAGAAGAAGAAGAATGGATCGAAAGTCAAGACGAATTTGGAAGAACTACATTGATCAGAGTCCAAGACTTACCAAGCATCAAATCAGATCCACAAAGAACCATGAACTTCATCCAAACCGAAAGTGCTCAACACTTAAACCAAGCCGAGTAAAATCAATCCCATTCTCTCAACTCAAACCAAACCCAAAAAAAGGAAAAGAACTGATAAGATTTTTTTTGATGGATTTTGATCTGTAGAGCTCAATATGGACCTCAAAGATCATTTCCAACCTTAGATCCAACCAATCGACCAACCAAACCAAACTCACCTATTGAAACTTACTTTAATCCGAAATCAGAACAAAGACAATTAGGTATAAGTCATTATAATTTATCATCTAATCCTATCGAACGTCAAGTTCAACAAGATCAACTTAAATCACGTGAAATCGAAACTCAACAAAAACGATCAAACCTTCAAACCGTAAATCAAAGCCAAACTGATTCAATCGAAAATCAAATCTCTGATAGAAAAAGATTAATTCAACAAAAACGTGAAGAACTTTTATCACGTAAAAAATCGAAACAATAATCCTTAATTTCCTCCTTTTCTTTTCAATCTTCTTTAAGTTTTGTATTCCTGTAAAATTCAATAATTTGGATGTCTTGATTTAATTCTTGTAATTCGTGGGAAGTTCATGGATAGTTATTCAATCTGAGATTGAGTTAGTTTGTTTGTTTGTTTAACTAGTCTAGGAATGAAATCAAAACTCAAAGCTCAATTTGATTTTGAACTTCAGTCACCATATAGGTTCCCCATCAACATAAGCTGCGTGTGTGTGTGTCTTTTCTCTCCATACTTCTTGATCAATATTCAATTGATTCAAATGGATGATCATCATTTCTAAAATCAAATTTGATCTTTCTCTCAAGATTTTCTTATTCACAAATTTCTGAACCTTTTGCCATTCTTTTCTTTTTGGTACGATTCATAATCATCAAACGATTTCTTAAACATTGGAAGATCATCAATTATTAATTTGTAAAAGAACAGATCACAAAACATCTCAATGGATTTTTCAAACATCTTGGTGTTTTATTAATGAGATCATATATAAACTGATTGACTGATTCACTGTTATGGACAGACTTGGGGGTTTTCGGCGATGAGGGTCAAGGGAGTTCTGGTGAGGATTTGTATCTATTACCAGTCTTCCTATGTGGATTGTCGGATGAGGGAAAATCTGTACAGGCAATGTATCTACAACTATAAGATGGTTCTCGAGCTTGTGACATGTAATGTGAATATGTCACTCAAGTGAAATAGAACCAGTTCATAACATTATCCCCCCTTTAATGCCCAAGCTTCCTCTTGCAAGCTCTGCATTCTTTCCACGGGCTGCGTTAAAAAACCCAGTGGGAAAAAGCATAGCCCTCTCACTTCTTCCGCCTTCTCCTTTTGTACTTATTTGTTGCGTCGGGATATTTTAAATTAAACTCATTAACTAAATCTTGACTATTCTTGAGGTTGATTTCGGGTTCCCATGAATTGTTTTCCTTGCCAAATCCTTTCCAACTCACAAAGTATTCCTTCTTGTTGTACCTTCTTCTACAATCTAGTATCTCGTTGACTTCCCATTCTTCTTCATCCTGTATTATGATTGGTTCGACTGGGGGTTGTTTTCGTTGATGTATTGTATCCGGGTTATGTTTCCTGAGTACAGAGACATGAAATACAGGATGGACGCTTTTCATGGAAAGAGGGAGATTCAATTTATAAGTAGAATTTGATATCTTTTGGATAATGAAGAAAGGACCTAGCCATCTATTTTCTAATTTTGGGCTTGGCCTAGTTGTCGAAATGTTTCGTCCGTTCAACCAGACTTGGTCTCCTACTTCCCATCTTGGTGTTTGTTGTACTCTTTTGTCAAATTGTTCTTTCATCTTCTCTTGAGTTAATTCTAAACATTGATTTAATTCAGATTGCACTTCGGCGAGTGTTTGCATCCTCTTCTCTACTGCTGGCACACACTGTTCAGCTGATGGTACTTTGTTGAATGATGGGTTAAATCCATAGTTAGCTTTAAACGGTGAAATGCCCGTGGATTCATGGTCTTTGTTGTTATACGAGAACTCAGCTGTGGGCAGTAGACTTTCCCAATCGTCTTGTCGATATTTAATGAAATGTCGTAAATATTGTTCGATTACTTTATTGACAATCTCGCTTTGACCGTCTGTACGTGGGTGGAAAGCGGTTGACGGGTGAAGGCGTATACCTAGGCGTTTGTCAATTTCTTCCGTGATCTGTGAAATGAAAATACTACCCCTATCTGAGATTATCGTCTTGGGAGTTCCATGAAGCTTCCATACGTTCTTCATCATGAGATCTGCTAGGTCTTCAGCCGACATTGATTCAGTACAAGCAATGAAATGACTCATTTTCGTTAATCTATCCACCACGGTTAATATGCTGTCGTAGCCGTTTGATGCAGGGAGGCCGGTGATAAGGTCATATGAGATATCCGTCCACGGGCCAGCCGGTATCGGTAATGGCTCCAGAGTCCCAAAGGGTTTCTGTGTGGTTGATTTAACCCTTAGACAAGAGTCACAACCGTCCACGTACCTGTTGACGTACGCTTTCTGAGATGGCCAGATGAAGCTTCTCCTGACCAATCCGAGAGTCTTTGCTCGACCTGGGTGGCCCGCAAGCAATGAGTCGTGTCTGCTTCTTAGTATTGAGTATTTGATGTCGTCGACGTCAGGTACCTCTATTCTACCTTGGTTGTAGAGGATACCATCTTGTACTTTGTAATGCTTCAAAGCTGCTTTCGTCTTGGCTGATATCGGGTTCAAGGTTGCGTTCATCAGTTCCCCTATCCTGTCACACTCTTTGCTTGCGTCTCTGATTCGTTGTATAATTTGATCATCCGTAGGAATGTCCGGTGCCTTAGTGTCAGTTTCAGCGATGCCCAATACATCCACCTCAAACCAGTGCTCAGAATTGTCGAGTGCAACCACTTCATCTTCGAAGAACCCCTCTACGCTAGCAAGCTCGACCGGGAACGTGTCTGGGCCGATGTTTTCGGGTCTTAACAACTGGCCAAAGGTCAATTTTTCCTCGTTAGTAGGCGCCAGGTCCGGTCTTCTAGATAAGGCATCTGGTTTGGTAGCTTTACTGCCGGGTCGGAATTTAATCACGAAATCGAAACAGCCCAGTGTCTCCGCCCATCAAGCCTGTCTGCGGGTAAGCTGCTTGGTTGTCATGAAAGACTCCAGGTTACGATGGTCCGTGTAGACTATCACATCTAGGCGGTTGGGGTTTCCCTCCAGGTAGTGGCGCCACTCTTTGAAAGACGCGACAATCGCCAGTAGTTCCTTATCAAAGATCTCGTAGTTCCTTTCAGCTTGGACTAGTGATCTGGACAGGTAAGCTACTGGGTGGAGTTCTCCATCGTCCTCGCTGCGTTGTGATAGCACTGCTCCTAATGCAAAATCGGAGCAGTCACATTCCAGAGTAAACGGCTTGTATGGATCGGCTATCTTCAGTACGGGTGCGGTGGTGAAGGAGGTCTTCAGGCTCTCAAAGGCTTTTTCGCATTTTTCATCCCAGACATAGTGCGCGTTGAGCTTGGTCAGATTATGAAGTGGTCTTGTGGTTCTTGAAAATTGGTCGATGAAACGTCGGTAAAAATTGGCGAATCCAATGAAGCGTTGGAGTTCAGATACTGATTGGGGTGCTGGCCATTCTTTGACGGCTTTCACTTTCGTCGGGTCCATTCTGATTTTATTCTTAGAGATAATAAGGCCAAGGTATTCAATTTCCTTCTTCGAGAACTCGCATTTTTCGGGTTTCAGCCAGAGTGTATGCTTGGATAGGACGTCAAGTACGCCATCAACAGCGCCTTCGTGATCTACTTTAGGCTTTGTATAAATCATAATGTCATCCAAGAAGGCCGCGGTGTCTTTACCTATACGTCCCAATAAGATATCTTGAATAAAGTATTGGAAATAACCAGGGGCGCCTGTTGGCCCAAAAGGCATAGTCAGAGGTGCAAACTGGCCTTGTTTGCATATAAAGGCCAGTTTATCCTCATCACCCTCTGCTACTCGAAGATTACCGTACGCATTGCGCATATCAAGCTTGGTAAAGTCTTCGGCATCCAGCAAACTGTCGACTAAGTCCATAGTCAACGGTAGTGGGTATTTGTTCTTGACGGTTAGGGCGTTGAGCTTACGGTAATCAAAACAAGGGCGCAGATTGCCGTCCTTCTTCCCTGTGAATAACACAGGGGCAGCCCATGGCGAAGTGGTTCGACGGATAGTCCCGTTGGCTAAGCCTGAATTCACCAATTCCTCCAAAGCAGCGTCCTCGGCTGGTGATAATGGAATTATCCTGCTAGCCTGCGGTTGAGCTCCTGGTATCAGTTCGACACGAAAGTCGTAGCGGCGTCTCGGGGGTAGGCGTTGGGCATTGGACTTCCTAAACATGTGTAAGTGCCTATGATACCTAGACGGGACAATTTCCTCTAGAGCTTTGACGGGTTCGAGTTTCTTTTTGTCGGCGGCGAGTCGTGCTGAGGTTGACCAGGACGTCTTGGCTGCTGTGACCTGGATTGATGTGTTATTCAAGGGAGAAACAGGCTTGCCAGCTGTTCGGGTTGAACATGGGTTGGAATCAGTAATAAACTCACATTGCGGGGGCGTTGATATATCTAAAAAGACATTAGCCCCCTCGTCACTGTTCCTTGCGTGCCCCTGAGGCTCCTCCTTGGGATCGTCGGGGTTCTGTGGCGGGACGGACGAGGCCGTATTCACTACGGCCGCAATGCTCGTATCCGGGTCTTGTGTCGTGATGTGTTCGTGGTTTTCGTTGTTCGTGGTGGGTGTAATCGTGATAAGGGGGGAACTATCGGGAGATAGAGGGTTGTCATCTGTTTCAAGGTGATTAGGATTAACTGGACTCTCGAACTCACATTGCGGGGATGCTAACGTGTCAGAATTGACACACATCCCCTCGTAATTGTGCCTAGCGTCCCTCATGGGGTCCAACGAGTGGCCAGATAAGGGTGTTTTTGGCCAATACGAAACCAATGAAGTGGTTGCAACGTGAGTCTCGGCTGGGTGTACCATACTTTTACTCCAGTCAATCAGGTGAAAGTTTTTCTTGATCCATGGCATGCCAAGTATGCCGTTGTACGAGTCTTTGAGTCTTGTAATGATGAATGGGGTCGGTAATGGGTCGGATTTGATAAAAAGGTGGGTCTTGAAGGAAGATCGGCTCTCAGAGCCGTCGAATCCAGTGATCAATTGGTCATGTCGATCAGCACCGGCTATCAAGCCAGCGTGGTAGGCAAATGATTCACTGAGCACATCGTGCGTAGCACCTGAATCAATGAGGAACGTAGCGGGAAATGTTTGGGACGGTGTGGCTCGGGGAATTTGGGACATGGATAATGTGGTGTGTAAAAAAATGCGCGGGTCGTTTGTATTGCACAAGTTCATTCTACTAGATCCCACATTAATTGATGACAAATTCTCCAGGTGGCTCAGGATGGGCACAACCTTCAATCCTGAGCTTCTCCATTTTTTGAAGTTTCAGCTCGTCCTACTCCTTCTAAACTACTGGTATGATTCACCCTCTGATTACTCAACTCTGCGACTTTAATTTCCAATCCAGCTATTTTTGATTGATAACCACCTCGACCCTTCCCTTTCCTACTAGCTCTACGATCGGGACATGCGCTGGAGATGTGACCCTGGCCATTGCAGCGGAAGCATAAACCCGCTTGCATACGTCGTGCTCGTTCCTCTTCGGACAATCTAACGTAGGCGGCTGATAAATCCATGGCATTGGGGTCTGAGATTCCTGCACTCGTGCTTGGCGTATGGAAGGTTGGGTTGGTCGCGCCGTGTAATTTACTGTCTATCTTGATAGCTAAATTAGTGATTTGTTCAATTGACGTGAAATCCTCTTGCGTCATAACCATTGCCACTCTAATCTCCTTTTTCAAACCTTGCTCGTATTGACTAATGAGCGTCGGAGTTTCCCAGCCAGTAGAAGTTGCGTGAATGTTAAATTCATGGGTATACGCGGCCACGGTGGTCTTCTGCGATAAGTTTCGCAGCGCGCGTTCCGCCTTCGATTTCTTCTCAGTATCGAAATACATAGCTTTAAAATTTGTAATGAAGTGTTCAAAGGTTACGAGGTGGGCGGTAGCGGGGTCAAATAACTCCTTTGTCAAGGGTTGCGCCCAACTTCTGGCTGCTCCCGTGAGGTAAGACAGCGAGAAAACCACCTTACTTCGGTCGTCGGGGAAGAGGTAGGGGTGTGCCAGCATATAGAGCTGGACTTGACTCGCAAAGATCTCTGCGGGTTCGCCTCGAGCGCCGTTGAATTTATCGGGCGTCGAGACTTTGGGGCCCTTCAGGACCGGTTCAGCTGGTGGTGGCTGTGGCGCAGTGGGTGGTTGAGTGGCTGCAGCAGGTGCAGATGGGCCTCGGGATTCCAACGCCGCTAAACGAGCTTCGGACTGCTGGTATCTGGCTTCAGCTTGTCCTCGCATCAGGCGTTCTTCAGCCAATGAGGTGGAAAGCTCCGCAAGCTTGCGTTGTATGTCTTCGAGAGAGGTCATGTTGGTGTCAGACATATCGATCTCGCTACCGGTAAGGCTAGAATCGGCGTCGAGAAAAGGGATCGGAGTTTCACTATCAGAGTCCTCCTCCTCTAAAGGAGCACGGTAAGATGGAGACGTGGTTGCGTTTGCTAGTCCAGGGATCACAGTCGGGATCGACAGAGTTTTTAGTAAGTAAGATAAGGTTCTGGTGGATTCGGTTTCAGCGTATGCAGATTAGTTAATAAGGTTTTCGATTTCGAATAGTTTCTTGGGTCTTTTCAACTTTGAATTTCTGAGATCTAGATAAGGTTTTCTAATGAGGTCGAGATTCGCTAGTATTCTGAATCTTGAGGTTCGGTTTTCTTTCGATTTAAGTCAATTCTACTTGTTTCTTCTTGGTGATCTATCTATAGTCCTTGAGTCTCGTCTATAGATCCGACAATATGTTATGGACAGACTTGGGGGTTTTCGGCGACGAGGGTCAAGGGAGTTCTGGTGAGGATTTGTATCTATTACCAGTCTTCCTATGTGGATTGTCGGATGAGGGAAAATCTGTACAGGCAATGTATCTACAACTATAAGATGGTTCTCGAGCTTGTGACATGTAATGTGAATATGTCACTCAAGTGAAATAGAACCAGTTCATAACATTCACATTCTTGAATCAAAACATCAATCATGGATACAAGTTCTTGATGTGATGATCAGAATTGAGTTATACTAAAAGACATTTTCAACAAGACCAAATCCAACAAGAAATTCTATTTGTAAAACAATGAAAACTTCAATCCAAACAGTTCATGATGTTCATGAGCAGCAAGAAGAAACTCAAAGTTTATATGAGGATGGTCTGTACATACCTGTAACCTAAGGCTTCATCATGAAGAGATGAGGATCATAGTGCCAAGTGAGATTTCATGAATACATACAAGAAAGAGAAGGATGAGGTCATACATCATATGAGGTGTGAGATGGTTGAGGAACATTAGCACACATAATCACTCCAACACTTATGATAAATAGAAAACAGCTCCACTAAGAGGGATACAGATCACCTTCTATGAAGATCATTGACAATCATCCAACCTTATTATAACCTAGAAGGTGGTCAAAGGTATCTGATAGGTTTTCTACATCACCTTTAGCTTCTCTTACTATTCTTGTAGTCTTAAGATCAGATAAATTCCCTTATATTGTAGGAACATCATACAAATTAATGTATGCTATAAGCTCAAGTCCAAAGACTTCCAGCTCACTGAGGGTTATATATTTGGATGAGAAAATACACTTTGATAATAAGTTTGGCCATATGCATGTTTGGTCATACCATTCCCTAATTTCAAAAAGCTACAAAAACCATATGTATTGATTTATACATATACAGTTTTGTGAATACATATAGAATCACACCTTCATACACAGATAATGCAAGAACAAAAATGTGGAGAAACATGTGGGAAAATTGAATATTAAGTCTACTTTATATGTACATCTGAGTCTTCATAAGAGATTCAACATTTAATCCTTCCTTATGGTAAAAAAATAGCTTTATTGGTCTGTGATTGTTTCTTCAAAACTTGAGAACTCATCCCTCATCCAATTCATGTCATGAAGGTTGATGAACTGTATATACTTGATCTGTGAATACAGGAGCAGGTGTGTACAGATTTATGATGTCATATGATGTTGTTGGAATTTTGGTGGTATGACAGGCCAATGACCCCCTGATAGCACTCGGTTTAATGAGTCAAGATGCAAGAAAGAGAGGAGGGTCTTCTGGTGAAGTAGTTAGATTGCTAAGTGAAGACTCAATCCTCTATGCCACAAGTCCAGGGTTAGTAAAAAGATGGCTAAGTACACATAAGGATGTTAAGTATCTGTAAGTCTTGGGTCATATCACTCTCACAGTGATATTATGGTGAGATTATTATGACAATATGTTGAGAAGATTCCAAAGCCATGGTAGTCTCTGGTCTTCCAGTCACTGATAGCTGAGGGCTGTGACAGAAGTTTTCCTGGGTTCTTGCTACATACACGGCTTCAACGGTTTCCCTGGTGACACACCATAGCTCCTTTTGAAGGTCCCCCAGGCATGTAAGGAGTCATGAGTTCAACCAATCATCACAGAAACATGCAGCACTAGACCAGGCTCTGGGATACAAAGTTAAAGATACTCATCCTCAGGCACATAAGCAAGTGTTCAAGGGCTATAATTATGCATCAAACCAAACCACACATGATAGAGTCTGTTGATTGACCACTCCTGATTATGTAACCAGACATGAGTGAAACTGCTCATCTTGAAAGGCACCCAAAACATGCAACACACCAGTTTATCTTTCATGGCATGAGCATAAATACCCAATTCATACCATCAAGTTCCAAACAGTTGGCATCAAAGTCTAGAAATCATTTAATCAAGATTTTCAAGTGTTCATACCAGGTTAGTGAAGTTCAAGAATCATCAATGTCTCCTATTGTATTACACAAATAGAAAGCCAACTTGAAAATTTTTCTAGCTACATACTTCTAACCTGATCTGCATATACACTGAAACTCTGATTTTTTGCAGGTCTTTTCCCAGAATCTGATCATCACATGAATATTTCAATCAAAAGATATAGTTGATAAATTTGAAGAAACCAATCTAACCCAGTCATAGAAAACCACATCTTTAGTAAGTCTAGATTATCCTTCCAATCCCAAATAATCAATCTGCTTTGGTATACATACTGAATCATCATAAGTAAACATATTCAGGTATGATTCTCAACAAATACACAACTTTAGGAGCCTTAATCTTTCTTTCTCTGGTCCATTTCTCAAGTGAAAATTTAGGAAAAGACATCAATTTAGTTGATCATAATCTCCCAACTTGCCCTGGTTGTACAAACCAAATCACAATCCTTGGCAAATACAATCAGGACTGTGGACACCCAATCACTTGTGATTGTGATCATACATGGGGTTTAGACTGTCAAGCCATCGTGGCAAAGTATGATTACTATTGCTCAAACTGTGGCATACAAACTGGCTATAACTGTCGTGCAGTACATAATCTGAAATGTGAGATTTCACATAAAGGAATTCCCAAAAAGTTTCTTGGCTTCAAAAATGAGTCTGCAGAATGAATTTGTGTTGTTTTCCATTATTCTTCTGGGTCTTCTTTTTATCTTGAAGCTCTCAACAATCATTCAATTCTAATGTATGTGGTCACAATCAATAGAATCTCATCATTTGTATGTGGAATAATCTTCAAGACTCTCTGACTGACTTATAAATCAAGCAACGGCAGTTCTTGTAACAAACTCAGAAAAAAAACATGGTAAAAAAAAGATTGAATTTTATTATTTTATTAAAAACAAAGAAGGAAATAAAGTTTCCATTCTGTTCTTTCTCACTAGTTTTCAAAAAGAAAAAAGAAACCAACATTTTTAAGAAAAGTAAAAAAAAGAAAGACAAAAAAAAGAAACGGTACAAATCTTTTTTTGTAACTTTGGTTTAACTATACAAGACAAATAGATGAAAAAAGAAACATCCAGGATTTTTTTGGGGGATTCTTTTCAAAGAAGATAGTCCAACTATGAAATAAAAAAGAAACGGCAAAGAAAATGATTTACAGATCTTCAAGGAAAGAAAACGAACAAACACTTAAACAGACAACTTTGAAAAGAAAACATTATATAAAAGAAAACGTATACAAGTAATGAAGAAAAAAACGAAAAAAAAACGAACCCCCCCTAGATCACTTTCAACCTCAACCTCAACATCTCAACCGTCCCTTCCATCCGACCTATTGAATTCAAGGTTGGAATCCCAAAATCCTCAAAGGACATTTAGATAAAACAGTATCACCAAGTAAAGTGGATAATTCTAATTTTTTACCATTCAAGATCCCAATCTGACTAGATTCTTCCATACAGACAATCAAAAATAATTCCTTTTTAATCTTCAAGGAAGTCTTTTCTCTTTCGATTTCATACTTCTTTTGTTTAAAAGTATTGGCCGAAGTCGAATGACTGATATTAGAAGAATAAGTTGATGTGGTAGGTGAAATTAGTGCTCCTACATCTTTTACCTAAAGAAACACAAAATTCACAATCCATTAACATCAATCTCCCTCCCGCTTTGAATAGATCACACAGAAAAAACTCACTTCAAGTGAACCGTTAATCATCCAACCATTTTCAATAGGTCTCCAACCTCTAACCCGATGATCAATCACTCCCTTCATCATCCTTTTATCTTCTCCAATTAAATATCTTAATTCAACTTTAGCAGAGTGTGCTAATTGATCAATGACTTGAGTTGGTAAATTGGAATGTGGTCCAAACCTAACCTCAAATGCATAAAAGATTTCAACTCTTTCTGGATGATAAAAGTAGAGATGATGACTCAACTATCAAATCAAAACAAAAATAAAGATTAGACTCTCAAACTAGAAATCGATATAAAACAATCACTTACGCTATAATCCTCAATCGATCCCAAATGCCCAGCTCCAAACACAATCTTTCCTTTGGATGATTTAACACTAGCAGGTCTAGTTGTTAATTGACTTCCGATTCCTCTATTTTCAGCTTTAGTCAAATGAAATTTGACCAAAATCCTACAAGTATATAAGAATTGATAAAACATTAAAAAGACAATGATGTGATCATACTTATCCAATCTTTCAAAACTTACGTTTCTTGCGAGCTGATTAGCTGTTTCTTTTCAGCTAATAGTTGAATCGTATAAATCACCTCACCCTAAAGTCGATGAGAAAGATCCAATAAGTTCTCTACGTCAAATCATTCAACGACATAGCGAAGTAAACTTACCAAAGGATTGCTCCCCGCAGACGGAAGAGGAAGAGGACCAGGAGTACAAGCACAAGTCGCATACTCTGGAATCGTAATCTCAACCGCCCATTCATCTCCATTAACTCCAATCACCCTAGCATCATTACAAACCCCACCACTCGTCAATACCGGCTTGATCACCTTCATAAACTCATGACTCGATCCATTCCTACTTTCAATCATTCTACCACTCAACACCACTCCAATCGTACCAAACTTCTTCTTAGGAGCTCGTCGTAGGTACACAATCAAACTTTGACCAGGTCTGAAGGTATCAGAAGATGGTCTTGGAAAGATTGACATCGTCAAACTCCTAGATTTACTATGGAAATCTTCAGGTGGTAGTTTCGAAACTGAAGCATGAGCTTGAATTGGATTCTTCATCGCTTCAAGCCCAATTTCACCTGATGGGGTTGATCCATTTGATTTGAATTTCGGATTCATTGGCGTCGAGGGTACACTACGAGAGGATTTCTTGGGTGGTTCAACTCGTTGGATCGCAGTTTGTGAACGCTTTTGATCACCATTTGTCCAAGAAGGGATGTACGAAAAGTCATGAGGTGTGGTGGAGTCAGGAAAAGTCAAAGGTCCTGATGACTTGGTAGGTAAGGAATCAAGAGCTCGACTGCCCATTCCAGTTGCCGGTCGTCGAATAGCACCAGCCGGAGCGTCAGCAAACGGAGGCGAAATGGGTGTCGTTGCTGTCGCTGGCCGTTGGAAGGCCGCAAGGGACGGGGCGGATGCAAATGTACGGTGCTGAGTAAGGTGGCTAGCAGGAGTGATCGGCCGGGGAGTTGGTAACGGGCTGCGAAGCTCCTCCACAGTTGGGCTTGGAGTCTTGACAGTGGGACCGTGAGTCGAAGAGCCAGTAGCAGTGTTTGGACGACGCTTAAATTCCATGAGTGGGCTACTCATGAACCGACCAAGAAGACCATGACTCGAGTTTTGACGAACGATGGAGTGGCTTGCAGGGGTGACGGTAGCAGCAGTGGCCGGACGCTTTGCAGAGGGAGCACTACGTGCAGGTGGACTCGAAATTTCAGAAGTATGACCTGCATCTGGACGTGCAAGGTCACTGGTCTGAGATTCGGACACGGCTATACGTAGGCTTGGTCGTCGTCGAGGAGGGCCAGGACGTTCGATCATGTTAGGTGGAGATGAACGATTGCCGGAAGGCAATCGAACCAACGAAGCTTTTGTAACAATCGGTTCATCGACATTCGAATCGGATGCAGTGATTCGAGACGCACTGAATCCGTGTGACGAACTGGAGTGATGATAAGATGACATGTTACTGCTAGTTGAACCTCCACGATGATGATAAACTCGTTCTTCACTTCGAGTATGGATGTAAGTTTGCCAACTGGGTGGTGGCATGCCCCTTGGTTCAAGAGGAGTACCGACCAGTGCGGCTTCCCAAATCTCAGAAGCGTTACGAAGATGACCCTGATGGACAGGAGTAGAGTGAGTTGACGGTGCGATCTTGGCCTCACGAAGTAAAGATCGTAGTCTTGCTCCTTTATCTGCAGGATGAACTGGCGGGGAACGACGTTGAGTGGGTCCGTTTGAACTGGGATCCGTGGCACTCTCCGGAAGTACGTTTCTGGCGGGAGATGGACTCTCAGCAACAGTCTCGAGCATATCCTTTGGGTGCAAGACATCTGGATAAAGAAGGGTGACCAAATCTTGCTCAGTTTCAGACAACAAGGAAATGCGTTCTACGAAGACTTACCGGTGGGTGGTGTGCCCCTGCGGGCCTTTCGACGAGGTGGTAAGTCAAGCTTGATCACATGTTCAGGTGAATGACGGGACCCATCAGGCTTGTCAAGTTGCGGGAGTTCTGGAGGGGTCGAAGGTTTCAGATTCCGTTGGCGCATTGAGACGACTTCAGGGAATGATAGTCGGAAAGGCTTGACAGAGGCTACTGAGATCACTTGCGCAGATGAGGGACTTGAAGCTAGAGAGTGGCCACCATCTTCATCATCGAGATCAAGAGGGATTGATGTGGATGATGGGAAGGAGCCCGAAGAACAGGATGAAGCCGACAAGGGAGTGACATCAGAGAGTAAAGACATGGGACGAGGCTTCGATGGATGAGATAGCACATCTCCCTGTGGTTCAAAGAACAACACGTTGGGTCAGAAAGATGAAACAACAAGCAAAAGGCAAAAGTGAAAAGATCTGAGCTTACCGAGACTTTAGCATGACGTAAACCAGAGCCAGTTTGAGAAGCGGTTTGACATTCGGAACAAATGCCATGAATCTGACCAGAAATCCAAGTGGGAGCTGTTGGTTGATCCTTTGGAGATGTGGGGAAGAGGGACGGACACGTCGAGGGATGTTGGGGACGTGAGAAAGGGGAGTGAGGTTGTCGAGAGCCATGTCGTAAGCTCGATTGATGTAGTGATTCGGGGGATGGAATCGGAGCTTGATTTGAGCTTGAATTGTTGAGGGATGAGGTAGATGAGTGTGTGTTGAGGATGTTGGAACTGTGATTAGATCCAGTGGAATGATGATCGTCGGTTTGAGGATCGACGAGAGGCTGAGATTGTGGCGTAGGTGGACTGAACCATGCTGTAGATTTGTTGCAGTTCACACAAATTATAACAAGACAAGGTTTAGGATTGGTGATGGTAAGGTCCCTATGGTGTTGAGGTTTTTCTGTTGTGATAGAATCGTGTTTCAAATCCGAAGTTTTAGTTGAAACTTGAGCTTCTTGATTGGAAGATGGTCGACTAGGAAACTTGAAACTAGAAGACGACTCAGAAGTAGAGTTCGTAGGATAAAGTGGGACAAGACCAGATCTTGAAGCACTGCAGATTAGATCGTGATGAAATTCCCGAGAGAAAGCCAATGGACGTGGGGTATTGATGGTAGACATATCAAGCGATGAGGTTGTGTAACTAAAATTCAAGAGATATTTCTAAACTTGTTGATCTTAATCAAAATTAATTGGTGTGTAGTTCGATATGAACGTTTCGATAGAACCAGGGGATCAAGTAAAGAATTAATTTTAATGTGGGAATAAAATGGTTCAAGTGAAACCTTTGATAAGATCACAATTCAAAAAGGACGACGTATGTATCTGATGTACGAGATGATTTGAGTTGTGTGAAGGTGAGATGGGAATAAAGAAAAGGGCGAAAGTAAGTTCAGATTTTATACAAGAGCTCAGTATCCACCGCAGGACTTCCGACTGACAGAAAGCGCTTAAGGGACCTGATTTTGAATGGCGGTTCGGTCGGTTTCGGGATCAAGGAACGTGTAATATTGCGGTGCCTGTGAAGATGTTGAACCTGCGCTGTGGGAAGTAGAAGTCGACAAACTCCCACTGATGCGAGCAGCGAGCTAAAGCAGCCAGGTACCTACCTACAGTTTATAATGAATTCAAGGGTTAAATTGTGACGTGTTAGTACAAATTTTAAGTAGATAGCACAAACAGATCAAGGAACTTTTTGGGGAAAAGCCTGGTCAAATGAGCGACAAAGAGTTATGCAAGATAATGAAGTGGTCTGAGATGTAAGAATGTGGTGTGATGTATCTGAGGAATGATTTGGATAAGGAACTCTTTAAATGCAGGGAAAGGGTGATGATGTAGAAAAAAAAAGTATGTAGAAGTTTTAAGATATTGATTGTTATTGGGGTTGAAGAGAGCGAGAGAGAAGACGTTTGAGGAAAAAAAAGATGTAAAGATCAGAGACCGAAGTTGACAGCAACATACCTCTCTATCAAACACCAACGTTTATTTTGTACTCCAAATGATTTGTACGAGATCAGAGTGGGTAAAAGGGCAATCGCAGGAGAAAGTCAACCTCCAGGATTGAAATGAATGTTAGACTGTATTGAAATCATTAATCTAGAATCAATCAACTGCTACAAGCCAACGAGATGATAGAAAGCTTGGGGTGGTATTGCTCAACTTACAAGATTCTTCTTTTTCAAGTATTTTCTTGGAAGAGTGTACTTTTCTCTTGTAAATTGATCTCGGTCGGATCTTGAGAGAGGAGTTCAGAGAGAAACAGAAACAGAGGATGAAGAGTTAAGATTTCAAAGATCAGAATCTGAAAACTCAAAGGATGATGATGACGATGATGATGAAATGATCAGTCGTTAAACCTGGAGAATGTAAAGCGGACGGGAAGTGAGTTTTGATGTTGAAATTGATGAAATGTTGTGGATTTGAGATGAATGTTTTAGCACTAGCTATTTAACATGAAAGCTATTGGTGCCAGTGTTTGGTAAGAGTTGATGGAGTTTTTTTATTAATTTGAATACACGAAATCTTAAATTAACAGATGGGACGATGATGATGGTGCTGATGAAAGACAGCGGAGGGATAAGAACCAATCAAAAGTCATCATCCATCATTCAAAATCAAGAAATACAACCAGATCTTCATCGAATCATATGAAAATAAAAACATGCTGAGGATCAGTCAAGTACATAGACTGTAGACCAACTCTTACTCAACCTGGATCTAATCAGTCCATCCTGATTCCTATCCCATCCCATTCCATCGAAACTGAAAGAAGTGATATGTTTGGATGAATCAAGTGAAAAAGTTGATCTTTTCAGAATAACTCTATGTACACAAAATGATCCTTAAATGATCATACATAGTAATCTGACATGTGGATTGAATTTGCTTGAAGGACAGCTGTCTCAGCATCGAAGGACTTTAAATAGTTAACTTAGGGGTGAGATAACAAAAAAGCTGATCATTCTGGTGATGCTTACTCAGAGCCATAGTCATTTCAATTGAACTTGATTGTCAATTCTAAATAAACAACAGATCATCACATTCAAATCATCTCATACTCACAGCAGGTCACAGCTACTCTTAATCCAAATGACCATCAGAAGGCTGAAGCCATCAGATGATGAGTGATCGGGATTGATCTTAACTTGTATATCGGAGTTTTATACATATACTCGATCATCAAATCAACACCAACTCACCAAAGAAACACTTGACAAATTGGATCAATATATTTACATAGACAGCTTGAAAATTTTGATCTGATCGAGTGGATAAACTGTTAAGATTTGTAAAAAAGACTTTGGCTTTTAGACAGAAGAATTTCGGGTATGGCGCAAGTACTGAAGTGGGGGGTAATTGATGAAATGTTAAATGAGCCGATTGATAAGCGAATACGGTGAGCAATTATGAAGCATACTCAGAACAGAAAAAGGTCAAGATGAAAGGATCTGAAGATTAAATGATACAACATCAAATTCTCGGGTGAATCAACATTTTGTGACATACGCTATGACTAACTCGAATTATGTATTGTGTGTGTACAAGAAAAACAGGAGACCCATTGAAAGAACTTCAACAGATTATGACTTTAACCAAAACTTTGAATCCCAATCAAATCATCCAATCCAATCCGATCCGATCTGATTGATTTCATCATCATCATCAAACATCTTCAACTCCTCGAAATCGAAGTTCAGGGCCAACGGAAAAAAATTAATCAGATCAGATCTTCACCTTCACCTTTTTCTTTTGTCAAGTTTTCCTTCATCCGTTGTGGGGGTTGTATCTGACATCAAAGATTTCTTATCATACCTTAAACTCCATTCACTGACATCACTTGATCAGAGTAAAGATTAATGAAAGAATTTCAAGAAGTTTATTAACGTAGAAAAAATAAAAAAACTTCCTATTCAGCTTTCAAAAGATTTTCATGATTCATGATCAAATCGTGATGTAATACATATAAACTGAGCTATTAAGTGAGATAAGCTGCACGTCTAACTAATCACTCCTTAAAGCCACATATTCTGTGTGTGTGTGTTTTGTGCTCAGGAAAGTGTCGGCTACATAGACTTTCAATGTTTCGTTCTGTACAGTTGATTGATCAAAAGTGAATCAAATTTGCCGGCCGCAGTGCTTGATTGAGTCTTTGGAAGTGAATGTACTTTTGGTTTAAGAAGACTTGAAGGTTCACACTTTTAGCATGAAAGTTCTTAACAAATTTTGTCACAATTTGATTAGATTTGCTTGTCAGGACGGTATGCAGTTGATGGGTTGCGTTGAGGATATTTAGTGTTGCTTTACCAGATTCAAATCATATAGATTTCTGACTGATTTGTATAGGAATCGAGAGAATTGGTGTCTGAGCTTGAAGGATTTGGTTGTAAAATCTGTTTAGAGAAACTTATTTCTGTCTGATTTTTCTTTCATCAACCTTTCAGTCAAACATTCAAATCTGTTTTGGTACATCAAGTTTTTTAATTCTTTTCTTAAGCTTCAAGATCAATCCAGTGAAAACCTATCTATCCTATGTATATTTCTTTACCCAGTCAAGATAAATCTCTGTGAGATTTTTAGAGTGCGTTCGGCGTCCTTCAACCTCGCAGGTATACATACAGGAATGGGCTCTCTTGGAAGATAAAGAGTTTGTTTCTTCTCTTTCTTTCATTATATGTGGATCATATCTTATATACTTATATTGCTTCACTTTATTGTCTGTATACAGGCCTGCTAACAAGAAGGAACTTTTCAATCTACGTCATTCAAGTGCTCGGATGGTTATTGAGAGGAACTTTGGGGTTACCAAAAAGAGATTTGAGGTGATGAACCATGGCTCATACTATCCATTCAAAACTCAAGTCCAACTTGTGCCAGCAATGTGTGCAGTCCATAACTTCATACGACTTGAAGATCATGGCAAAATTTCAGGAGAATTTCCCGAGTTCACTGACCTTTCAGCCACTCCTCTCCCAAACCGACGACCTTCAGCATCTGACAATGACAAAGATTTGATGGATCCCGAACTGGATGATTCAGAAGCAAGCCAATGGCGTGATCGAATTGCTACGCGGATGTGGGGGTATTATCAAAGGCAGAAAGAGACTGCAGCAAGGCGGATGAGAAGGGGTTCACAATAAATACAGAAGCTCAGAATACTACAATGTGTATTTTCACTCCCAAAACAAATTATAAAGCTCATATCTCCATTCATTTGACAAAATAATTGTGACTACTCCTTTCACAAAGAAAATGAGATGATTAAGGTTGTACACTATTTACTTTTGGGTCATCTGCTCAAGCATTTCAAGTAAGACAGTTCTGGCAAGGCTTTCATCTTTAATGACTATATACCCACCAGCCATCTCTGGATGCCGAAGGAACATTGTGATTATTCTTGCCTTCACCACAGCATCCAGGAAATCATTGCTCTCAATCTTGGCTATTGCTCCTGAGCTTATTGGGTCCACTGCTGAGCGAGGCAGCTCAATAGTAGATTGTAAAGACAAGACAATTTTGTCCCCAAAATCACTCAGTGCGTCCACACCACGTCGTTGTCGTGATTTGCTTTGCTTTGTAATTGGAGTCAAAGGCATAAGATCACTATCATCAATCTTCCTTTTGCTTGAAGACACTATCTGAACAGTGTTTACATCAGATTGATGAGTCCGGTTGAGGCTCTCCTTGAGATCCAGTTTGTAATCAATCACATCCTGTTTCATAAATAGGAACAGTTAGAAGGACAATCCTGATTGGTTGTCTGCTACACACACTTCAACCACGCATACCTGTAAGCCCGTATGACCATCTTCTTTGTCTATATTGTTGAAGTCACTGGCTTCTGAGGTGGCGAAGGTACTGTTGGCAGTGGGCCGATTCTGTTGAGTCTGAGATGGTTGAGTGGGGTCAAAAGTGTCTTTTGTTGAAGCAATGATGTGGCCGACAAGTTGGTCCATCTTGTCAAACAGTGGAAAAGGGGTTGTAGCCCATTTCACTATACTCGGATCCTGTCCAGCCAGACCAGCCCACACGTTTTCTGAGATATCGAGGGTTGCATCTGCATGACACCATCCCATGCCACTTTGTTCACTCAAAGGTTTGACAATACGGAAGTCGCTTTTGATCTGGCAAGAGGAAACAAGATCAATATTATCTTCTTTGGAAATACAAAAGGGTACATACTTTTGGAAACTTGGTTGAGCAATTGCCAGCGGTCTTTGCAAGACTTCCGCGTGGCTCAGTGTCTTTCAGCGACTTTGCGCATGCATCCCATGTTGAATACTTCCATCCTGACTCGGCCATTCGTCCTGCCTGCTTCTCAGCGAGCAAGAAGCCAATCATGTCCTCCGTGTGGGATGTGCTCTCCTGATATCAGCATATCGTGCTCTGTCACGTGGCAACGGCAATCTCCCTGGGGTGAGACCAAGCTCTTCAAGCTCATGGTAGTTTAGGCAAAGCCGCGCCCAGCCGAACGCTGGCGCGAGTGAGATTGCAGTTTGAAATAGAAGACACCCCTTGGGGTGGAAGATGGAAAACTGACTGACACTAAACAATGTCAAAAAAAAAACAGAAAAAAAAACTGAGAGAGAGAGGAGCAAGAGATCTCTAAGTAGGCTACTAAAGGAATCTTTTGATTCCTGATCAATTCAACAACAAGCTTATCAGCAAACAGGAAAGAAGATCTAAGAGACCGGAGAGAGTGTTGTATGATAAGGAGTTGTTTGAGGTGAAAACTTTCTAAAGTGATGAGGAAAAAGAAAAAGAAAGTTTTCAGAACAACAAGGTATGATTGAATATAAAATGCGATACAATATATGGTTAGGTTTAAAGATTAAATCAAAATGTATTGAGTATTGTATTATATGTTAGTTAAGTATTATTGTATTGAATGAATTGAAATGAAATGAAATATCTTGTACACATGTAACTATCATTTATTCCAACAGCTACCGCTTTAACAAATACAAGAGGAAAATTATACCGCGCGACAAATGAACTTTGATAAACTGTAGAGATGACTTCTTTTTTTTCTTCTTTTTGAATGAGACAGAGAAAATACTTGAGTGACTGATGATACCTTGAATAAACGAGGCTCACTGAGATGAGCCTTGAGATTTGAAAAAAAGAGACATTTTTTTTAAAAAAAAACTGGTCAAAGGAAGGCAAAAACTGAGTGTATGCGCCTGCAAAAGAAAACATCGTGCCATTGTTCTTGAGGGTAAAACTGGGTGGGCGGGAACTTTTTTGAGTACAAATACTGATAGAATGGTATTCTGAAAAAGACCGTTGCTATACATGAGTAGAGAAAGGGTGAAGAGACTTGTGTGACGTGCAGGTACGGGGGGACTCCTAGTGAAATTGATGAGCGGACAAGGATTTCCTAGAGGAGGAAAAATTTCTTGTCTGAGCTGACGTGAGTACCTGGCAAGGTCCGGTGCACCCTGGTGTGGTGAGCACACTTGTGGTTGCTGTGGAGAGTGAGGAGGTGTCAGCTGCGGAGTCCTGGACCTGTAACACCTGTCTCTCATGTGTGATATCTGTACTGAGCATATCCCACTCGCTTAATCGGGACATCAAGCACAAGGGATGTACTCTCCTGATATCACCAGATTGTGCTCTGGCACATGGAAACGGCAATCTACCTGGGGTGAGACCAAGCTCTTCGAGCTCATGGTAGTTTAGGCAAAGCCGCGCCCAGCCGAACGCTGGCGCGAGTGAGATTGCACTCTGAAATAGAAGACACCCCTTTTACACCCGCCTATGTGCTGCGTGATATACCCGCGTAGGTGTGTGAAAGAGTGGTGGAGGGGCAGAAAAAAAGGGGTGTATGATGTAGTCACATGACGGAAAGCCAACACCATCTTGGTGGGTGTGGTAGAAAGAGAAGAGAAGATGGAAAGAGGACGTTGAGTGCTTACGTGTTATGCAAAAATAACTTGTGCTCCCTGGTGAACCTCAAGGGATAGGGGGTGCGCCCTTGTTGCTGCTAGACGCATGATTGGGTAGCATCGTACGTATGTTGTGAAAGCTTCTGACGACCATCTACCAAGATCTTGTATATGGTCCATGGGTAGGCCTGCTTGTGCGTATGCGGTTGCTCCCCCTGAACGCATTGAATGCCCCGATTTGTTGGTGTCAAAGAGGAGGCGGAATTTTGAAAGGAACCATGACCTGGTTAGTTGGCTCCCGTCGAGCGGCAGGAAAAGTGGGTCGTTCATCAAGAAACAACAGTCCCGACGTAGCATGTAGCGTTGTAAATCGGTGATGGGGCACGCACCTTTAATTGCGCAGGAAGGTAGTACTACCGGACTGCCTTGAAAAAACGGATCCGTCTTGCAGTGAGGAAGGGTGTATCTTGCATACTTCCCGCATGCCAAAAATGAGAAAGTGCTGCGACAGATGGCTTTCCTGTTGTTCCTGTGGCTGATTGTGTCGCTTGCTACCAGCTCGCCAAGTCGGTGCAGGCCGTGAAAACCTGTCAGTAACATAGCTGTGAAACGTAGGTCATTGTAGGCAAGGTTGAAATGTGATTAGACGAGTACTAAATCGTATAGTGTAAGTGGGTCTTTGAAATTGATGGGGTTGGAAAATTGAACTTTGAACCCTCTGAGGACTTTCCTTACTCTTGGTGAGTTTGTGGCTAGTTGCACGTCAGGGTAGATGTGTTTGAAAGAGGCTGCCATGGCAGATAGGTGACCTTCAATGGAGGTTGGTGACAGGGGTTTTTTGGTGCGCGTTGATACTAATCAACATGCTTCTGGAATGTATTTGCAGAGGTTGTCGACTGTGGGTATGGCTGGGCGGTTGTGTCTAGCGCAGAAATTTTGAAAGGAGTTGTAACCGGAAAGATATGATGATTTTGTTGAAACTGCTAGGCTGTGTGTGGCGTCCTCCTCTTCTAGTTGAGCAAGAGGCAAACACCTGATTTGTGCTGGAGGGTACATGTTCACTGAGAGCGGCCGCCGTCTGGAAACGGTACCGTGGAGGGGAGTGGTGAGATGATCGTGTTGGGTTTGAGTTCCCCTACCGTATCAATGAGGCCTCTGAATAAAGCGTTGGCGTATTTTCTTTTCTTTCCGGGTAGGTGTGATACCTTCACATCTGCTTTTGCTTCCACAATGAGTTTCACAATTGTCCTGAATAGGGGGCGTACTGGTTCTACTGGACTGTGGGATCAAAACAAATCGCACACATTCATGGAGTCGGATATGATAAAAATCTGTTTTGCTCCTTGTTCGAGAGCCATGACTATTGCTCAGCAGACGGCCAAGAGCTCCATCCAGTATATGTTGCGTGACGGTGGAGGAACCACTGCATGGAACCCTTGAATTGTGTTTGGTAGCCATACTCCTAAACCTGTCACACTACACCAAATGTAATCTTTACCGGGCGGTAAAGAAAACTACTGACATAGAAAAGTCCTGAGGCAACAGGAAGAGAGCTAAAAATCTGAAAAAATATGCACCTTGTTCCTAGATGTTGAGGCTTCATGATGAGTATTTTTTTGTATTTTACACGCAGATATTGGTTAATGTACTAACAATAAAGGCTGAAAATCATCAAAAACCCACATGTAACAATACCTGAAATTTGGGTCATGATTATGAAGACAATATTTTGTGGTCTAAAAACTTTGATAACTTTTGCAATTCTGCTCCAAATAACTCAACTTTTGGTTCATTCAAAAGCTGAACCATTCTCCTTTACACTTCATAATGTCAGTAAGGTGCTATCTAGTCATTTGAACGCTCTACATATGTCCAAAAAGTTCTGCATGAATAGCTCTGTAGGACCTTTTTCAGACAGGCTACAGATGTGATGTCTCAATGAAAAATGTAGAGGAAAGACTCGCGTATTCAACAAACCAAAAATAGAGTTATTTGATTCAGAACTGCAAAAGTTATTGATGTTTGAAGATTTCAAAATCCTGTCTACAAAATCAAGGGCCAAATTTCAGGTATTGTTACAGGTAGGTTTTTGATGATTTTCAGCCTTTATTGTTAGTACATTAACCAATATCTGCGTGTAAAATACAAAAAAATACTCATCATGACGCCCCAACATCTAGGAACAAGGTGCATACTTTTTCAGATTTTTAGCTCTCTTCCTGTTGCCTCAGGACTTTTCTATGTCAGTAGTTTTCTTTACCACCCGGTAAAGATTACATTTGATGTAGTGTCATGCAGGTGTCGGTAACTATTAGGACGTTGGCATTTGCTGCCGGCCAAATTGCTGCGTCCAGAAAGAGCTACCCATCAAAGCGTTTGAGGCATGTCGCAAGCCACCTGAGGTCTTCCTGTATCTCTCAATTGACGTGAATCAGGGTGAACTTCGAAGACTTGTTGATTAGCTTTTCCCACGCAGCTTGGAGAGCGAATCATCCGTAGGGAATGGCGTTCAGGCCCCATGAGGCCCAGCCCAGAGTACTTTGCCAAACTCGTAGTCGATGTGCTGTCTGGGCTGTGAAAGTTTGCAGGTTCTTGTCCAGTGCTGCCTTCTTTTCAGGTGATAGAGAGAAAGAGAGACGCACAGCGTTGACGTAGTGGCCGATGATCTTGAGCTGCTGGCCTGACAGTTGTTTCTTCCAGACCCATGGAAGGTTGATCGTGTCAAAAAGTAGGAGCAGTAGGGCCTGGTTGAGCAGCATCTTCACTCCCTTGAAGGTGGTGATGGAGTGGATGTGTGATACCCCCCAGGTGTTGTCCATCAGGTTGTGGATGCAACTGACCCTGAGGCGATTGATAGCTATCCACAGTACAAGTGAGAAAAATGAGCACCATATCTTGGGTGATGCTGCCAACCCAAAATTTGTGCATCTGTCCCCGTAGTATAGGTTCGCAATCTTGATAATTTGACGTATTTGCCATTGAGGGTGCATGGGCATGTTTTGATATGCCCAAGCTACATCGCTCTTCCAAAGTATCAGGAGGGCTGCTGCGAAAGGTACTTCCTTCATGTACGGTCCGAAAGTGGCAAGAGGGCTGTATGAGACATGAGCTTTGTCTTTGTCAATGAGGTCGTTTAGTGAGGGTTGGCCAAAGCTCATGTTGGTGCACATGCATAACTTATTGGAGCCTGGCTTTGATGCCAGTAGAAGTGGGGAAACCTTCATGCCCGGGAGTAGATGATGGAACGGGGAAGAGAAACGACCTGCTGCCACTTCTTCATCTCTAGTTGTTGTCAGTACTTCTGGGTGCTCGTAACAGACTTTGTGGTTGGGGTGATCAACCACCTCATCTGAGGGTATGCTGGCCATGGGCCAGAAGCCGTGAGTTAGACCGTGAACCACTGAGTCAACAAAGGGTCTATTTGGATGTTTGGCTAACAGATGTTGAAAAATGGGTATATCGACTGGACAGACAACTTTGAATGTGTCCGGATATTGCCGTGGTGCGTAAGCTGCACATTTGTCCTCGGTGAGAGGTGGGGCCTTTGGTAGAGGTTGGGCTGTGATGCTGTCTTTGATAGCGACCAAGTACCCTCTTGGGTGAGCCCAGTCCCATTCTAAGCCGTGTCTATATTTTTGCAGACCGAAATTCACGGCGTGGTGACTGCGGCGTTTGTTACGCAATACGTAGAGAGAGAGACAGAAGAACACAATGTTGGAAAGGAGAGAAAAATCAGCATGTGGCCAGAAACAATGAAATCAAACATGTTGAGAGGCAGTGTTGTAGGTGGGTTGTGACAAAGTCGCAGATATTGTAATGATTGTGGTATGGTTGTAACTTACTCGGTGAGAATTTTGTTCATGTCTGCTAAGACTGAGGCCTTGATGGCCCCATTTGGCTGACTACAATTGATTGCAGTGCTGTTTCCTGGTGTGTTGTTGGTTGCAGTTGACAACATTGCACATTCCGTGAATTCGTCCGTGTCTGCATGGATCAGAGCAGAACCCATTGTTCCAACTGCCACAGATTTGCATGTGAACAGGTGTGCCTTTGGCGACTGCGGTTGAGAGAAAAACACAATGAAATTGCAAGAGCTGTCAACGGTAAGAGGTTCTGCAGAGCAGAACCTCTATGACGTTAACAAAGAAAAACCCAAAAATATACATTTTTAAAAATCAAATCGCTATCACTCAGTGTCAAGAGTGTATTAATTAAAATACTTAAGAAATGGCAAACAAGACTTAAGGAATACTCGAATTGAAACCATCTTGAACACTTTCATTAACTATGATCAATTACAAACTAAGTCAAGGGTCTGGATACTAACAGACCCTGCCTAGGCAAACCGTTGAGGTAACCGCATCTACCCTTAAACAAAACCAAGTTACAATTCAAACTAAACCAGTGTAGAACTCCTACACAGTGTAGCGTAGGCTGAGCCGGAGAAGGTAAGAATCACCACTTGTGAGAGCGGATGAAACTACGGTGCAGTTACGCTGCCTTCAACCTTAAAATTATTGCAGTTCGAAAAGAACTAGAACAACTCTTAACAATTTTCTATCCCCACAAATTCCTCCTGTAACACAAATTTAAGATTTTCAAAGGATCCGCAAGGTTTGGCGGACTCCGATGATACCACACACAACTCTACACGATGTTGTGGTGTAAAACTACGTTGATTTCAATGTTAACACGGCTAGGTAGCACATGTAACAATGGACAGGGCCGAAATGTAATTTCGGATCCCTGACTCGACCCGGCCTCGACTTGGATCAAGAGGCGGGTTTGGCGAAGTTGATACAGTCCTAACTCGACGACTCCACAACTAGTTTTCGACGCAGCTCAGCAACAAGCAAATTCAACACTAATAAACAGCACAGCAACTTCGATTTTAACGCTAATACAACCTTTCTTGACGATGCTGCAAGGTGAAGTAGTTTCTCTAATCCACCACTTCTTTTCTTTTAACTGATTATCTAATAACTAACTAAACAACTCCTGTGGTCTTCTAACTCTTGAACTTGATATAGGTCAATCGCTCACAACGCTTGTACGGTCACTTCAACACAAAAAACACTTCTAATAACTCTCAATTCAAACACAAAGAAAATCACACTAGGACACAAACACACACACAGAGACACTTGCTCTTCAAGACACACAGATCAATCCCCCTTTATATATCTTTCCCTAACCAAAACCACAACTCGGCCTCAAGGCTCTTTCCGCAATCTTTCCCCGCTTCGTTCCTTTTGCTCCGACCGATTCCGACCGATCTCTTGGCGTTTCTCATGCTTTAAACAATCGATTTCCTTCGATTCAACATCAAAATTTGACCTGTGATCGACTTTGAACTAGTAAGTCCTTCCTTTTCATCCTTATCTCCTTCCTTTTCTTCCATTCCCATACTAACTTTACTTCCTGTCTCTTTCTTCTTATTGATTTCGATCCTGGACCCTGAAATTGATGTTCATCTTCTCTCACCAACAGTGTATGTAATTCATTTTCGATTTTGACTTTCAATTTAGATCTTGCATGCCAAGAAGTGAGTTTTTTCTTTCAATTCATCTCTGATTTCTTCATTTCGCATCCCACTGACATCTTTCTAATTCTTTGTTCTAAGCATACACCCTGGAATCGAACCTCTGTTTAGTTTGTTATGGTGATCTCAGCCTGTAATCTTGGTATGCCATGCTTGTTTCTTTCTGATCTTAAATCTCGACTCTGGACCCTGATCTTGATGTTGAATGATACTGACAACTTTATTTTGATTGTAAGCTAGATATCCTTTACTTTACACAATAGTAATCACTAATTTTCGAGTATTTCTTTATTTATTTTTCTTTCAAGCTAGATACTGACTTGTGTTGTTTTAAGCATTCCTTCTTTTGTTTTTGTTGTTTATTTTGTATGTAGTTTATGTATTGTCATATTATGAAGTAATCAAAGCACCCAACTCAAACCAAAAATATGATCAGAAATGGCATGAGCCCAATTGACTTGAGAATGAAAGTTGAGAATCAATGAGCCTTGATGTTATGAATGTGAGGATAATAAGTTGCGAAGACTGTAGTGATCATAATTTAATATAAGGTGCTGCTGAAGAATTTGCTTTCCACACCAGCTAGTCAAGAACCACTCAAACCCTGAAGAGCGAGTCATGATCTACTTCCACTAGAAAAACAAAAACCTATAAGAATTAAGCTCCTTTTCGAAGCAAAGGAGGATCCTGATCTTTTTACAAATTAAACTTTTTATCAAACATAACAAACTTACAAGTTTAAAGATCAAATGTCCTATTTACCTTTTTCTCTTACATCTGTCAGAAACAAACTGTCATACTTTAGAAATTAGACTCCTCTAGTTCTTCTTTTCGTATTAAACCACTGTTTCAAACCAGATCCTTTTTCCTTCTTATCTTTTACTCATTTCATTTACCTAGGACGTTAAAGATCGTAATAGTATTCACTATCTCAACTAGAGTTCCTATAAATTGTTTTTGATAAGGGTCTTGTCTTATCAAACTAGCGCTGAAGCGTTATCCTAAGGACTAGCTTATGTTACTCACGTATTCACCTTAGAAGGGAGTTTAAGTGAGTGCACTTTTACTACCAACCTGGCAGCGGTTTCATTCCACACCTAAGACAATTATAGCTAACGACTATAATTCTTTTCTTACTCGCAAAGACCTTGAAAAATAATTTCCCTCAAGTATCAACTAACATTGTGTTAAACTTGATAAAATACATTTTGTGAGTATCATTCAGACTTGATTTACCTAGATATCCGCTTACTTAGGATCTCAGGCTGACAAGAGCTGTGGTCAGCCTTGGTAGCTCGTGATGTGGTTTGAGCTTGGTAGCTATGACTCACTTTGCTTGATGCTTCCTGCCCAGCTCGTGGCGCGGACGATTGGGGTTGGCGACGTTGTGGTGATCAAATCCACTTTTAGCTCAGCATTTTATGGCTGAGCTTTTTGGTGTTAAAATTTTCTTACAATCAACATTCTTTTTTTTACTTTACTCATCGGAACAAGATTCTCACAGGACCAACTTGAGGCTCAGTAGACTGAGACTTCAATTAAATCAAAAGTAGTATATCAAGTTGCATATGATGATCTAGTTGAATGAGTCGAGTTGAAATAAAGAAAATATATATTACATTAAAAAAAAAAAGAAGACTTCATACATTTTTAATTCAAAATAAAGTCAATCAAAGAAATCAACTACCGACAGTAAACAAATTTAGAGCTAAGACGAGATGAGAATACAAGAGAGGAATGAGGTGAAAGAGAGTTGAAGCGGGAATTGAAAATGAGAGGTGGAGATCGATTGATGGGGACTAGAAGATGATCGAGGCAAGAAATGAATGAATTAGATAAAGAAGGGTTAGTACAAGTTTAAGAGGAGAGAATGGATCGAGGGAAAAGACTTACGCGTAAAGGTTAAAAGTCGAAACAACTATAGTGATCGAGATCGAGTATAGTTATCAGTACTATAGAACAGGAAACAAAAGAAATGAAAAGCACGTACCTCTAGAAGAATCATAAGTGGACCGAGACAATCGAGATTAAAAGGAGCTGTAGATCGAAATTCTAAAACTGGAAGTAATAATAAGAGTGGTGATGATTCAGTTTCAGTAATTCAAAAGAAGGAAATGGAATGAAACTTACCTACATAGGGATCAAAATCGAAATTGGATGACTCCCTCGATTCAAGACCAGAAATCGAAACCTAAACGAATAAAGCCAAGATGATCATGTTAATGAGATCTGGATGAGAAAGGGAGAGTGGAGAAGAGGAAAGTGGAGAAAGATCAAAAGAAACTTACTGTGAAGTGATGAAAGTGGAAGAGGAGGAAGGAGAGTAATAAGATTGGGACCAAATGAGGTGATGAATCTGGAGATCGAGAAGAGAGAGGGATCGAAATCGAAAAGTGGAGGAGGATGAGGTGATGAAGGGTGTTTGAGTTAGCAGATGAAATAACAAGATGAGCAAGAAGAACAGGTGACTTACGAGTTAAATGAAAACTTTAACGAAAATCGAATGCGAAAGTATCTTGACGTGATTAGAGCAGAGTCGAGTTCGATCGAAGTAAAGAGGGGGATCAAGGAAATGAAGTAAAAGGGGGGGGTGTTTGTGTTCGTTCGTTCGTTGGAGGAGTGTGGTGTTTTTTTTTTTTTTCTTTTTGTGATTCATCTAAAAAGTGAAAAGAGAAAGAGTTCGTAGAAAATAATAAGAAGTCTCCAAGTTTGAGTTTTTGTTTTAAAAGTGTTAAGCGATCATCGATAGGTTTTTTTTCTTAAATAACTAAATTAGTTGAGGTTCTTGTGTGAAGTTTGAAGTTTGACTTGTTCAACTGGTGGTTTTTGATCTTGCTTTTCCTAAATCGTATCAGTTGTGGTGTTAGTGAGCTTCTTGGTATTTTGAAAGAAGTAATCGGTGGTGTTGCTGAGCTGAGTCAAGAGGAAATTAGTTATCTTTTATTTTTTTTATTATTACTATATTTCACAATAAGTGAAAGGCCTCTACACAGACCTAGCCTGGATCCTTGGTTCAAATCCCTCCTAGACCTTAGTTTTTTTTCTTTTTTTAGAAAGTTTTTTTCCTTTAGTGTAGAGTTTAGAAATTATATTTTTTTCTTGGCTCTATCCTGTCTTCCTTTAGGAAATTATCTGGGTTTTATTTTTGCTCAAATAGTTTTTATTATTACAAGTAGTAAAAAATCACGTTTAACTCGAAACTCACTTAGTTTTGTGTTAATTGTGCGTGTACAGATTGGTAGAGTATTGTTGGACTCCGCCAGTTCTTGCGGATTTTTTTTTAGTGATATTAAAATACTGTTAATGGTTATCATAGTGAAGTTATACAAATTTGTTAGAGAATTTGCTCCATTAAATTTTTATTTTTGAACTTCATTAATAGGTTGAGGGCAGCTTCACCGCACACGAGTTTCATCATTATTTCATTGGTGGAATCTCTTCCCCTCTCCGGCTCAGCCTACGCCACACAGCATAGGAGTTCTACAACGTCTTGAGACGTGTGGTTGGGCCTTGTTGGCAGAGGTGCTTGGTGCAGAAGATAATGCTTGTGGTGGAGGAAGAGGTGGTTGCCTTGAGCGAGGCATAGCTGCAGTTGTAGCCATAGAACATACCGCCAGTAAATTGTTGCTGTTGAAATCTGCAAGGGTGAGGTGTGGCAGGGTCGCAATTGCCACTCGCAGTCTGCAGTCGTAGTCCACGACGTGAGACCAGTCTCCTTGTGCTGCGAACATGTTCACCATTTTGTAGATGTGCGTGAAGTAGGACTGAATGTCGTGTGTGGTGTCCGGGAAGTTCAACAGGGAAAAGGTGGCAAACCAATTTGAACACATCTGTTGGTTTGGGAATCTTCTTAGCATCGTAATTGTCTGGGTTGAGAACTTTGCTCGGGCAAATGAAGAAACCCTGCAGGAGCCCTTGAACGAGGGAGAAAGGAAAACCAAGGGGCCGGTGTACATGGAGATTGATGGCCTCCACGACTGTTGAGAAACCGGTGAGCCATCTTGCAACACTCTCTTCTTCCTTTTCTTTAAGGCTGACTTGAAATCTCCAGAGACGTCTTCCACCTCCGAGGACTCGTTGTCCCCTTCTTCACCATTGGCGATCCCCGATCCTTCTCCCGTGCCCGGCTGCTCGATGGGGTCACCGTCGTTATCCGCGTTGGTGGTTCCACCAGTTGACGTGCCATCGGGTAGCTGATTAGTTGACGTGCTTCCCGGGAATTGGAAGGGATGTGGAGCGCGGGAGCCTGCTCGTTTCGCCCTATCCTCAGCTTGTATTCTTTCTTTTTCCGCCTGCATCCTCTTCTTTTCCTCAGCTTCTAGATGCATCTGATGCAATTTATTCTTAGCTGCCACGAGTTTTTCTTTGTGAGTTGACTCCATGATATCAAAGAAATGACGACGAGGAATATCTATAGAAGGATATATAAAAGACTCTGAACGGAGAGAGAAGATGTTCGAAAATTTTTCTAAGAACTAGAAGAGTAGAAAAATGTGCAAAAAGGATAAGAAGGTGCTGATGAGGGGGCAGAAGTGAGAGAAGAAGCTGAAGTGGAAGAGGAAGTGAAAATTTTCCTCTTCTGTTTCAGAATAATTCTTCCCACGTTACAGGCCCCGTCTACTGGGACCGTGAGTTGTCCCGCACCTGTTTATCCCGCCCCCTTACGTTTACGTAATGGACTCTAGGCCTACCGTCGCGGGCTTAGGGTAAGCTAGCAATCATTTTTGCGGAATCAAGCCATAGCGACGGGGTATCCAAAACTGTTTGTCAGTGAGTTTTGATGAGGGCAATGTGCTCGGAGACTCCTCCATCACCTTGCTTACGGTTCTTGAAGTGATAGTTGTAAAAATCTACTTTTGACTCCAATTCGGCGATCAGGTTTTCACAAACGGAGAGCCAGTCATGTTCAGATCGCCCAATGCTTATCGCGATTGCGCGATAACCGCAATGACCGTCACCACGAGGATTGGAAACCGAAGATAGGGATGAATGCAGCCACTTTGGCACACGATTGTCCTGTGTAACAATGTTGTCAATTAGGTCAGGCTGCCCTGAATGAAGGTGAGAGAGAGCGTCATCCCACTCACACACTTTTTTAGGGGTGCGCTTCCGAGTTGACCTACGAGGACCTGCTGGACAGGCGTTGGTGTCATGGCGAGTTGACCTTCTGAGAGGTTTTGTTACATCCTGAACTGGCTCTAATGTTAGATCAGGATTGCCAATTTCTGTGGGTATTGTGGTGAGGGCGTTGGATATCTGCAAAGGCAGTCATTTGCGTGACGTGTTTATGTCAACTATGGTATATGACAATGATGCCAAAAAAACTACTTACTGTTGTAAGAGATCGTTCCAGGATGGGTGAAGGGGAGGTGATACATGTTTTGTCTTTTAGGTAGGTGGACGGTAGCAACGTTTCAATCTTAAAACTTTCATCGCCTTCTTCCAGATGTTCGAGAACCGGAGTTTCGATATCAAAACTTTCATTGCCTTCTTCCAGAGGTCGTAGAAGGGGAGAGAGCTACAGTGTATAATGGAACGTAAGCTTAGAACATCCTGTGATTATAACATCTTAAGTACTTATGATAGGGTCAGGAATTGGATCGAGAAAAGACAGAGAGACAGGTGGCGAGTCGTGATGGGTGGGAGGCTGTTACAATGTTTCTGTCAATTGTCAACACATGCAAAGTGGGTGATTTTCAGGTTTTGGGGCTGGGTTGGCTGGTGTTTAGTGGGTTCAAGTGATGGAATCGGGGGTAGAGTGGAGCCATGTACTATCTCTTCAGTTTAGTGGGTTCAAGTGATGGAATCGGGGGTAGAGTGGAGCCATGTACTATCTCTTCAACATGAGCAGGCTGACCAAGCTGTGAAGTGCTGTCCGTCTTTTTCCGCTTTTTTTTGGGTTGTGTTGGAACAGGAGCCACGTCTGTAACGTGGCTGAGTGGTGCCGTCGACGCAGTGAGGGTGGTTGTTGTGCTTCTGGCACATATGGGGATCGATGATGTGAGCTGGGATAAATTGGGTGTGGTTTTTGTTGGATTAGCAGGTGAACAGCTTGATGTGCAATACTTCTGAAGAATTTGCTGAATTTTGGCAAAGGCTTGGGGTTGATCAGCTTCCGAGAGTTAAGACAGCTTGTTGGATATCTGGTGGTGGTGGATGTGGTGCTGGTTAGTTGAAGCTGGATATATATGATTAAGTTGAGAAAACTGACAAGGGAGGCTCGTTCCTTGATTACTGTCAAACTATCACAACCTACAACTTTTGACTTTGTCTTTGTGTTCTATCAATGTAACCAACAAAAGTACAATGAGCAGTAAGTTGCAATACAGTTTCATATCTAGTGTAGGACAAACTTACATCAGGATCGATCGGTTCATGTTTGTGACCGGAGTGTTTGATATGAATGACCCAGCTACCCACTGGAGGAAGGGAGGTACCGTGCTGAAGAACTGACTCCTGAAGGTGATTTGGAACATCAGGAGTAACTATTTCGTATGCCGTGAGAGAAAAGGGGCAGTCGGTTTTTTGAGAGGTTGAGGTGCTAGAGGGTTTTGAACCGGATCAATGACATGTGTATCTTATGGATGTGGTCTTCTTGGCGTCTGAAGATTGGATGGTGAGCTTGTACCCGTTTGCTTTCGCATGTGCCTGGAGTGCATCATGCATTGCCGCTTTGTTGGGGGCAACTAAATCGATTGGTGGGGGTTGTAGGGAGGCGGGTGACATTGTGGGTGATGTTCTTGAAAGGGATTGATAATCAAAAGGTGAGTGACTTGAAGTTACCCTATAGCCAGGTAATGGGGTTGAGGGGTAGATGTAGGTAGGGTAAGGCGGGTTAAGTAATAAGATTTACTCCGAGTTGGAGGGTTTTGGATTTGGGTACGATTGTAATTGAGATGTGAGGTGGTGAGTTTGCTTGTTTGAGGGGTATGGATGTGGCAGGGCGGTATGGTGTGAATTGGGGTGGTGTGGCATGTTTGGGTAAGACATTATGGATGGGTGGTGTATGTAATTTGGATGTGAAGTGGTGAGTTTGCATCTTTGAAGGGTGTAATGTGATGCAGGCGGGTATAGTTTGGCTTTGGGTGGTGTGGAGTCTCTGGGTAAGAGTGCTGTTTGGGTATGTTTTGAATCTTGGTACAATTATTTCAATTTCATGGGCTAGGGTGGTGTGTTTGTGTTGAAGGAGTTTGTGTGCAAATAAGGGGGGGGTATGGTTTGTAGTGAGGTGGTGTGATGTCCTGTGCTAGCATATTTGGTACCGGTGGGTCTCCCTTAGGGAAAAGGGGACTTAGCCGTTTCTGTGGTTACCCAAGATCCTTCTCAAGAGGATGATTCATCTTGGCAGAGGCAGTCAAACCCCATTTGGTGATAGGACGCTCTGTATGACCGAATGGGGTTTGGTACAGACGTGCACGTGCAGGTGCCTTTCAAAGCCCGAAAACCCACCATCGCAAATGAGAGCCATATCCTCTAATCTGAATATGACAGATTTGACTAGGTTTCCATTATGCAAGAGGATACCTTCTATCCAAATGGACATAGGAGCAGGTAGCGAGGTAGGAAAAGAGAGGCCCTGATGATTTTGATCAAGTCAGTCAAGTCTTGAATGAAACTGATGCACAAAAAAATTCATACTTGCCACATCTTAGGGAGCGTTGGGTCGCAGGCGCCAAAGATCAGGTGTTGATATTGTGCATGAGTGATGCAGCCGCTACATGCCACTCTGAGCGTGGGTGGCAGAGCGCAAATTTTGATTGCCCCGCCCTTTGAACAACCCGCTACAACCCCAGTTTCAGGGGCCAAGCGGTGGCGTGGCGCTGTGACCCGCTACCAAAAAAAACCTCAAGCGGTGGCGGAGCGAGCCGCTCCGCCATTGCTCCGCCCTCGCTTTTGGCAGCAGATCGCTTCAGGCGTTGCTTGAAACACCAAACCCTGCACCTTTTAACGAAGATACAACACCGGATCACACTACCCCAGAATCATCTCCTCCAACAAGCGACTTCTCAATTCTTCATTTCAACTGTCAAAAATCTCAACATATCACTCTTGAAGCACTCACCCAGACTCAATACACAATCCTGGCCCTACAGGAACCTTGGTTCAACACTCTCAATTTATCTTTTCCAACACACAAAGCGTGGCATTTGATCTCAGCATATGATTATCATCCTACCTCATGGGACAAAAGACCCAGAGTGGTCCTTTATATCTCCAAGTTAATCCATTCCTCTCAAATCTCAATCCTACCGAGCATGTCTGATATCTTACTTGCAGTCGACATCATGAAGCCTCATTCTCGTTCTCCTCAACTCCGTATAATCTTGTGGTATAAGCCTCCAAACGCTCTGCGTGGCCTCGCTGTCCTAGAAAGATGGATCGGCTCCAACTTCCAGCGTGGGATCCCCTCCCTCATCACTACAGACTCAAACTTACACCACAGCCTATGGAACCCACCAGGCTATAATAGGACAGATGCTCAAGCTAAAAAGCTCATTCAACTATGCGGTAGTAAAGGCCTGAAACTGATATCCCCACGAGGGATTCCCACTGGATTCTCCCCAAACACATTGCCCACAGCTATCGACCTGATCTGGGCCAGCTGGAACTTAAGTGAGAAGATAACAGGCTGTAAAGTTATAACGGATGGAATAGCCTCGGACCACCTCCCAGTAGCTACCTCCCTTAACTTACTCTCAATGCCCCCAATCAATGAACACATCTCACTGAACCTAACTACTGCATCTTCACAAATGCTTGTCCAATCGAAGCAAAAAAAATTGCTGCCGGTTGGACCCATTTGTGAGCTGGACCGTTAATGAGGGTATGTGCATGATCGGGGCTTGGGCTTTTCTAGCTCTGAGCTTTCATTTTGGTGTTACTCGAGCAAAGAGCCAAAGAGCTCTGCCCAGCTACCCGATCCCCCCATCATCAATTCCATCAACCACCTACTACACTCCCAATCAGCCACGTCACCAACACTTCAACTCAGGAATCATGCGCGAATCGTTTGAGTGTGATTTTGAGATCAGCATCTACACCAACCATGGCGACAGCAGGAATCCAAAATGGAAGACCTACACACTAAAAAGGGGGAACATTTTGTTAGAAATTAATCTGAATCAAATGTCATTTCTCAATCTACAAGCAACTGTCAAGCGGGACTGTAATAACAAAGACAATGAATTAGGTGACCTGATTATGACCGACTTTAATTCAGACGAGAAGCGCATCAAATGGATTGCAACAATCTCAGGGCAAAGAGGTTGGTCAAAAACCCGAGGAAATCAGGTTCATTGTGAAGAACAATTTCAAGCCTGGGCCCATGAGGTATTGAAGGTATCATCTCAAACAGGTGGCCTTTATTTACTGATGGACAAGC